TTCCAGAAATTATACTGGAGCCAATTCTGCAATAGCCAGACTCCCTTTGTTGTAGAAACTGATGCCACTGATACAGCCATAACTGCAGTGATTCTCAAACCTATAATGTCAGGTATACATCTTCTTCCCTGTGTCTACTAAAGAAGGCTAACACTAATAGAAGATAATTATATCATTTGAAGAAAGCAACTCCTGGCAATCAAAGCTGCAATCGAGATATGGAGACATCTACTGGGGAGGAGGAGCACAACTGATCAAAGTCTGCAACTTTGAATACCACAATGCATTACTCTTTATTCTGCACGATTTCACACTCACTTGTTCCCCACTCAGAACCAGCAATCTGACACCTCATTTAGGAAACCAGAACACGCCTCTTTGAAGGGAAAGGAGACTTTTTCTATCATTCCCCAACAAAAACACTTTGTGGTTCACATGAATTTTCCCCACAGTTCAATCAGATTTGGAATCAGCAAGTTACCGTATTCCTTTCAGGATGGGCTCTTGTACTACTGTGGGTGCTTCTAAATGCCTCTAATCTCCTGCTGAAAGGTCCTTTCCTTGACAATCAGCCTGTGGCGCACTTAAGAGTTGTATAAGCCTATCCCTCCTCACTAGGGAATTTTGGTGGCCTTGAAACTAAGGATCTGCCATTGTGGCAAGGATCAGATAGGACGACCCATTGGCTTATGGCATCTGTTATTCTGGGGTCTGGAGGATGATCCTTATGGACTATTATGATTCCCTGTTCTGCTAACAGCCTGTTTGGAGGTGCAGAATATCCTTCACTTTCTCTCTGTGGGGATCATACCCAATAGAGGACCCCAGGTTACAGCCAGTTCTAGTACAGTCTGCTCCAACCCCTTTACACCCAAGAACACAAAGTATATTTAATTAACTACCATATCATGTCTCCTTTGAACCAAGTATCTATAAGAATTGTCTAAACCAGAGTTTTGTGGAATTACCATCCATGTATAATGGAATTGCAATTATGTGTCTTCAATTCATTTCCTATTTATGGTGGCCCTATCACAAGTTTTTCTCTGTTCACAAGGGGTTTGCCACTTTCTTTGTCTTCCTCTGAGGATGAGAGAGTGTGACTTGTTCCAGGTTACCCAGTGTGTTTCCATGGCTGAGTGGAGCTTCCAGTTATGTTATCCAAGTATGCTGATCTAACATTCAACCTGAACCTATTATACTATATTGGCTTCTTTCATGGGATACTATGAACCAAACCTTCTTTGAAGTGAGACAATCTATTATTATGTCCTCATAACTCCATAGATACAAAATGAAATTGGAAAACTATTTTATTCAGCTATTTTGAACAACAAACTGGCTTCTGATAAAGGAGTTTCTGGTGGATAATATATAAGCCAACCCACCAAAAATTAATGGTATATTAAGAGTAAAACGGTTTAATTTTATTAGTTCATTACAAATTCATTTTTGTTATTTGTACTTAAAAAAATAATGAAAATTATGTAGTTACTTCCAGTTGTTTTAATCTTTCTGTCTGCCTCCTTAAGTAAAAAGTTCAACAACTCCCCTGAAATAGAAGATACAAGATCAGGTTCTCGTTTATGTATTTTGCTTATACTTTTATGCCTATGCTATCTTATTATCTATGTCTTTATGAAATAATGGAATAAGAAATCTAAGCAATGAATAAGGATAGTATTTCTCATCTTGTAGCACTGTTATTCCAAGAACAGCAGAGACATGTGAGATACTGAGCTATTATAGAGCCAAGTACCATAAAAGCTTTTCTATGAAATCCTATACTGTGTACAGGCTACTAGTGTGGTTGGTCTTAAATGTGACAATCACAGATGATTAGCCCAGCAAATCTAAAAATTCTACACTACTGCTTTGTTTTTCAGAAGATGTGTTACTCCTGTTAATCAATGAATTATAGCAGCTGTCTAGTTAGATATGCTTCAAGACATAATAGTCCCTCTATTACATATGTGGTTAAGCAACAGTCTCAGTGGACAGAGGCAATGTTTTACACAGCTATTAAAATATAATATGTATTCCTACAGAACAGTGAACTCAAGGGAATTCTGGTTGCAGTATTAATAATATAAGAAAGATTAAAATTAGTCTATCATCATTTAAGAGGGATTCTATTACAATCTACATTTGCTGAGGTTAAGAGCATAGGACCCATGCAAAAGTTTTAAAATGTGACTTTAAAAAATGTGTCCCCGTCCAGAGAAAACACCTCTAAGAATCTCTAGGTTATTAAGCATGGTTCTGTGATCAACTTCCAAAGAACACTGACTATAGGACTGCACTCGAAAACCTAAGGTTCCTAGAGAAGTGTTCTCTCTAGGGATTTCTCGATCCTCCAAGCATGACCCTACGATCACTTTCCAGTGGAAAGAAATCTTCATGTTAATATCTAAGAGTGTTATTTTACTAGTATAAATGATGTTGCACTTGCAATAGCTAGTCGGGGACAACGTGCAAGAGGAAAAGTCAAAAACTGTTTGCAGTTATACAGCTAGTTTTGCAATCAGTTTCAAAATTGGCTGTGCAGCCAGTTATACAAACACAGAATGGCTAGAGGCTATAAAAATATCTGGATCATAATGTTTCAGTTCTTAATACCACTTGCACAACTAGAGAAAAAGAACAGAATTTCACTAGCACACTTATTTCCTTCATTACCATTATAATAACTTTATTTTTGTACCCCGTCTCCATCTCCCCGAAGGGACTCAGAGCGGCTTACATGGGGGCAAGCCCAAACAATGTAATTAAAAATATAACACATTAAAGTACATAAACAACAGCATAAACAAAATAAAAACAACATTATAACAAACTGAAAAGCATACATCAATCCAACAACCAATAAACCTGCAATAATGATCAGTTTCTGGGCACAGGTGGGCAGACTGGTGCAAATCAATTGTGAAGATAGGGCTGATGGATAAAATGTGTAGTCAATTGGCAAGAGCAAGGATAGAGGGCAATATAAGATAGAGCATTATAACTTTAGATACAGAACAAAGACAGATTTTTGAGTCCTAACTGAGGCTAAGTTATCCTGGGAATTGTTTAGTCAAAAGGACAGAAAACATCTACGTTTTTAGATCCTTGTGGAAGATGGACAGGGTGGGTAATAGTCTAATCTCCCTGGAGAAGGAGTTCCAGAGCTGGGGGGCCACCACTGAGAAGGCCCTCTGTCTCATCCCCACCAACTGTACCTGTAATGGAGGTGAAAGCAAGAGAAGAGCTTCCTCGGAAGATCTTAGAAATCGTGCAGGTTCATATGGAAAGATGTGGTCGCAAAGATAGGCAGGTCCCGAACTGTTTAGGGCTTTATAGGTAATAACCATTTAGGTCTACAGGTTTTTAAGTTATATTCCATATTTAGATTTTTCCAAAGCTGACTACTGGCTTCTGCATTTTTTTTATTGCCTCACTACAGTAAAGGATGCTCTTTATATTGATACATATGCTTACAAAAAACTTGCTTGATGCAGGAGAATGTTAATTATAGACAGTTTTCTATACCCAAAACATTCAATGTCTACTGGGCATGAATGGTTGATTGTACTGGATCAAAAATGATGATCATTTGCAGTAAGTGCCACACATCTTACAGCTACCTATGTTAGTTTGGAAGTAAATCAATTTCAACTGGACTTGAAATTGACTTGTTAGTGTGAACCTAACCTAAGTAAATATGTCTAGTCAACCTGTGTCTGCAACTAGCGTATAATGGTAGGATCCAGTATGGCTTAGTCTCTGAATAAGAAAGTGTGCTGTCTTGATGCCCTCATTTAAAATAAAACTTTTGGGATAGTTGCCGGACTCATGCATGAGAAAAACAGTCACAGAAAGTGGAGGGTTCAGTGCAAATACAACTCTGCTGGCGTTTAGTCTAGTTTACCTGTAAGGGTTATTCTTCTAGCAAATAAAATGACTTTACATGGCAAATAAACAACTGATAAGTCTTTTATTTTTGAAGTTCAAATTTTCTAAATAAATGTTTTATTTAGTAACTTAACAAATGATTAGCAACACAATCTACAAATCCAGGGAAAACTGATGGCCTATTAATGCAAATGTCCTGTCCTTTAATTACATGTGAAAACATTCACTTCCTAAACAAGGTGTAGAAAATAAAATTCCTAGTACAATCAAGGAATCTTATCTCTCCTCAAAAAGCTGATTTACCACACTAGGTTAGATTATGGGATAAATTCATCTGTAGCTAAGAATTGGAACATATTATACTCATAGCATGTCAGACTCCCAATTTGAAGAAAAATAGGTAATGATTCTTCTATTAACTGCAACATCAAAATCTCCAGTTCAGAAACAGATGTGGTGAAGGTATGACACAGTTAATAATATGGTAAAATATTTCTCATATTCAGTGTAGCACAGGTTAACAAAAAGCCATTTGTACTGAAAGACAACAATTGATGTCTTTATCCAAAAGAAATTGCACTAGGCAAAGAATAAAAGTGTAATTTAGGCAGAGCTGTTTAGTGCTGCTCTGTAAGGACACAATATGAATCCCTGAATTTATTATTTTTGCCACATTGATTCTTGTTGATTTATATCTTTGATGTGTAGAATCCAAGCCACAGAATTTCTGTTTAAATTCCATATAACACCCCTATCAATTTCATGTTTTAATAGTTGCTCTTGTAATTAACATTGTCCTTCAAAAGCACACACAAATAACAACCCCATACCAAACACATCCCATGAATGACCACTTTACTTTCCGTTCTAAGTTACAATCAAGTATTTCAGAAGAAAAGAGACAAATGGTTTGAGCTAATAATAACAGAAGTATAAAAACAAGAAACATAAAATGTTATATTCCAAAAGAACCACAACTTGGTGATTCATGATGCTTCATTGTATGGCATGATACTATCACAGAACTGCACATTTATTTACAAAAGGAAATGGCACTGAAAGTATATATGATAAAACAAGAAGCATTCACTTTCAAGATAACTTACCATCAGAACTTGTGAGTACAAAACTCTCGGCCTGGGTGTGCCTCTTTCCGCCTAAATTTTTGGGAAACCAGTGAAGATCTATGGGATAGATGTCATCTGGAAGCTTCACTACTTGTGTTGTTTCACCATTTAATAAGTTCCATTTTATAATCTGGTGGTCATCGCTGCATGAATACAGTTCATCTGCTGTTGTCCAGCCCACACAGCTAACTAATTCTTTATGTTTTAACTGAATTAAGGAACTCTATCTCTATTACAGTTCTATCATAAATATTTGAAAACATACACAATGTTTTCTGCATTTCTAAATCTTTACCTCTGGCCTCTATGACTTAGAAATATTTGTACAGTGAGCCCTCAGGACACCCCACGCCAACCAAGGACACCAAAATTTCTGATATTCAAGACCCATTATATAGAAATGTGTAGTAAAGTAGCACACCTTATCTAAAATGTCAAAATCAAGATTTGCCTTTTGGAATATATATATATTATATTCAAGCCTTGAATGGTCAAATCGATGGATACAGAGGACCGAATGTAAACCCTTAAATATAAATCTGTAAAATTTAGCATTAAATCTACTTTCCTTTCCAAAATGTGATAAAAAATAAATTAGTACATAAGTATCTTGGCATGGGTCTAAATAAAATCACATTTTAGCCCTACTGAAACCAATGGGATGTACAGGTAACCTCCAAGTTACAAACAAGATAGATTCTGTAGGTTTGTTCTTAAATTGAATGTTTATGTAAGTCAGAGCAGGTACATCTTTAAAGTGTAATTTCGGCTATATATATACACACACACCTTTGGATAGCATAGGGAAGTGTTTACACCCCTGTGGTGTTTCTTTTGCTGTCAGTGTGCCTGGTCAGAGGATTTTATCTCACTTTCTGTCTCTGTGATCATTGGATTTGGAAAAAAATGCCTTGTTGTGGAAACAAGGATTGGTGAGAAAGTTTAGTGGAGACACCTTTTCCCCATGATAACGCTTACAAGACGAGAATTTCCCTTTTGAGGGGTAAATTTCTCTCCCTTCCTGTTTTCTCACCCCCATTCTGAACTTTAAGTTGCTTGTAATTTGGATGTAACTTGGGGACTGCCTGTATACATGGATAACTATAGAATGATTAATTTGGTCTCAATACAAATCTACTGTATAAACCAACTATCCAAACTGCAATGGTAAGAAAGGTTTTAAACTTTGCCCAACTTACCAAAACAATTATTTTATGACAAAAGAGTTTGGAAAATGTAGAAAGAAGCTAATTTGTCTGCTGTTAACAGGCTCCTGGGATGGTTGTCAGGAAATTAATATTTTGTCTTTGTGCCACTTAAGTAGAACAGGGACAATATTTCTAACTTCTTGGACTTCTGAAAGGGGAAAAATACTGTGTTTTGAAATTCAGAGTGACTTCTGATTATTTGAATCTGCATGTGATACATAGCCTTAGGCACACATTTCTGGTTGGGGAAAAAACTAAAATGAGAAAGAAAATAACTCAGCTTACCAATCAAGTTACAATCTTAGTTATCTGGGCATGAATTATGATTTTCAGTTTGGAATAATCTATTTTCTAAAAAGCTCTACCCAGAGACAATATAGCAGAGGAAAACAACATTGTGTCCTTTAGAATGTTTTGAACTGTAATACCCATTAACTTAATCCAACATAGGCAATGTTCAGGAGTTAAGGGAACTGTAGTGTGAACCAGATAACTGACAACAGATTGCCTACAAATGCACAATCACTAACAATAACTGGGGGGGGGGGGGGGGGGGGGGGGGAGATTCCAAAACATTATTTGAAACCATGATTTGAAGGCAATCCTGTTTAGTTTGGAATACTGTCCAATTCAAATGCAAGAGTAAATTATGATTACATAAACTGAAAGGAGTTTAAAATTCTATGGTCCATTCCAAATTGTTCTGGTGATGAGGATATTTTCACTGGAACAGTTAGATTGGATAACCTGAAACAGTTAGGATGGGATAGGATGAGCTAAAAGGATTCAAGGTTTAGTTAGAAGTGAATGTTGTGGTGTTTAACTTTTTTTGCTTGAATCTTGATGTGATAGAAAATGTTAGATCTAATGTCAGAAAATAGGATTGCATATTTCTACCATGTAATTGAATGAAATGTGTTTTCTGTAGTACCTTTATATTTCAAATGTAGAATATGGTTTTGTGGGTTTGCTGCACCTGCAGCTTCAAGGGAATCTGTGTAACTACATTCTAGCATGCTTGTTTTCTGCCTACCAGTTAGATGGCTGGAAGATATCGTTAACTGAAATGTGGTAAATTTTCGGTCTGTTTGAAACTAGTAAAGTACAATAGGACCCTTCTTCATGATGCAGATACACAATTTTAAGGGATTTTGTCTATGGCAAGTGGTTTTTCTCATCTCCCATTATCAATCTAAAACAAAACAGTAAGTTCAACCATTTTCAATAATTGGGGGGGGGACGACCCAAATTCTGAATACCTGGACAAGCAAGCTTGAAAAAATAACCATTACAACACATGCACAAAACTACATATATACACAAATATATACACACATAAAACACATATGCACAGACTGGGCTACAGCAACACGTGGCAGGGGACAGCTAGTTATCAATATATTTATTAATATCCTGGTTTTTTCCAAGTGTGGATTCAAGGTGGCTTACAACAGATTGAATTTTTTAAATTTACAAAATACAAAAATCAAAGTGACTGAACGATCAAAAACTTTAAACGAGTTAAAACACAATCATTAAAACTGGGAACAAAAGTAACAAATAAAAAATCCAGAACATTGTTTAGTGGGCCTGGTACAACCAGTCCTCAAAAGCCTGTTGAAATAGAAATGTTTCTTTCACCTGTCTACTGAGAGGGGAAGGAAGTTACAGAACCTAGGGGTAGCTACTATATGCCTCTATCTGTAGCGCATCTACACTACAGAATTACTGCAGTCTGACACTGCTCTAACTTGTAAAATTATACCTCCCATGATCCCACAGCATTGAAACCATGGCAGTTAAAGTTGTGTCAGGTTGCATTAATTCTACAGTGTTTATGCACCCTCAGAAGACCATCTCTCATGTTTTCATCAGTTGTACCTGATAATGTGTTGGGACATGAAGAAAGGCCTTGCAGTGAATTTCAAAATACAAGAGAGAATACACTCCTTCAAATAACCTGAACCCGTGTCATACATGATCTTTCTGAACAACATTTGTAAAGTGCAATCAGTCTTGTAACATTACAGAAGTGCAAAATATACAAGTAGTTTTTCATCATAAAAAGGTACATATAGCAGCAAAACATGCATATATATGTTATGAATTCTCATTGAATTTCCAGGATACCCTGATCTAAAAACAGAAGGCTTCATTAGCTGCTGCTTTTATATTCTGCTAGACAGCAGAAACTTTTTTTCATTCCAGTGAGCCCTCAATTTACCATGTAGTTAATTTCCTGTCTTATGTTTCCCTATGAACTTGTCTGTTCCATCATTTTTCTGTCTTTGTGGAATGTTATTGTATTTACAGTTGGCCTTAATTGATGTAGGATACATTGCATAGTGTGCAAGGGTTAAAAAAGGTAAATTAAACAAGCAAAAAAATCGGGTTATGATGGGTAGACTAAATAGATCTAATGAGCTAAGTCAGACATAAAACCTGATTATGTATAATAGAACATAACAAATAGATTATGAAATTATGAAATAATTACATTAAAATGGGTAAACAGAAATTATATCTTCTCTATCAGAAGTGAGCCAAGAAAGCCCCTCACCTAATTCTGGCAACAAACCTATCCAGATTTTTCTTTTAGAAAAAGGGATGCAGGGGATACACCAGAAACTCTTAAAGACAAATGCAACTTTTTCAAATGATGTATTTCCCAAATGCTTTCTTTATAGTTCTGCAAATTCTAAATGTCTTCCATTTAATAATGATGAATATAAGTGTCTAAAGTCATGAGAATTTGGATTAACAGAAAAAGTCAGAAAGCAAGACCAGGTTGTAAAGGAGGAATCTGTACAACCTACATTCTGTTAATTTGATAAATTAGATCTCTGCCCTGCTTTTACAATAATTACCAACATCTCAAGGTTTTCTCTTATGGTGCAAGAAATAATGAATTTACATACAGACCACCTGGACTACCAAAAATCAACAGGATTACTCCAGAGTACATGGCATGAGGACAGTAACTCTTGCAGGGAGCTGTACACAGGAAACCAAGTCCAAATATGGCCTTTTTTTTATCAAAAAGAGTAAACCCAAAGAGATTTCTATAAAGCTTAACCCCACCTGGTCAACTAAGAAACTTTGCTTTATATGTGATTATGGAAACTGTACTTGTTTTTAAAGTCTTTTCATTAGATTTATTTAAAATAATTTTAGGATATTATTTTGTCTTAATCTGTGGGACATCTCAGGTCACATATTGTGACAAAGGCAGGGTATAAAATAAATTGACAAGTTTTACGTTAAGATATTATGGTTTCGAATGCTTTTCAATTCAAGTTGCCTTCTGCTCCTACAGTGATGCAACTCATATTTTGATACATTTCCACTCTTACACGCACTGGGTGATAAAGTCACCTATATTACAACATTGTTTCTGAAACGAACAAAGGATATGTTTTGGTTCCTTTAACAGAGAAATCTTTAATCTCATTTTTGGTTAGGTTTTCTGGTGCCAAAGATCCAGCTGATGCATTGATAAAGAGGTCTTCTTTATTACACCTGTGAATATTAAAAAAACAAATGCTTAGCAGCCAGTATTAACATTTAGTTTTAACCACAACAAGCACACCTTAACTAATTAACACCCCTTCAGGCTCAAAGTAGTAATGTCACACATCATAAATGTATGCATCAGTCATCTGAAGACCTAGGCACTGTAGCTTTCTTATTTATCTATATATTCCAACAAAGCTGATAAACTCCCGAATAGCTGTCTAGAGATAGATAACAATTCTATGATCAAGCAGGAACTTTTGTCCCCTTTGGATGTTGCTGGACTCCTTAATACATCAATGCTGGTTCTGCTGGAGAGGGCTGATGGGAGCTGCAATATTTGTAGGGTCTGAAGTTGATCATCAATGCAATAATTGGTCAATAATTGGTCTCTCATGGGATCAAACTGTTGGAAATAACAACCTTCAACAAGCCTGCTATACTACTTATTTGTTATGTATATAATTGTGATTGCTTACTATATTGTATGTATATGATTTAGTATGCAGTTTTCCCCTTAACTCTATGTTGTTTGAGGTTGTGGGAGGGACTGCAGACCATGTAACCGGATCTGGGACTATTCAGACTGAGACTGCATTTTAGAAGCCAGTTTGTATCAGAAACAGTACAATTTGTATTAAGAGTTTGCATCAGTACAGTTTATGAAGTCAGAAGTGTTAGTGTAAAGTCAGTGTCACTGTAGTCAGTCTATATTGATTCAATGTTCAGTAATTTATTAGACTGGAGAGTGTTAGTCTGTATGCAAGAAATAAGAGACTACAATAGAATGCTTTAGAGAACCTACTGTTTAAACTCTCAACCAATAAGAAATGTACCTGTATGCTGAATACATGAAGTGTGTAAGTTACTTTTAATGAAGACTATCTATTTTTGGTCTCTTGAGACCATGATTTAAAAACCAATATATTTATGGAAGAGTATGTGTTTTTTCGGCAACTGAAACAACACTTCTGAAGATCTGCAATATATTTTGTGAACTGGCATATCTTTGTTGCTAACAGTTCAGGGAGATTAGCAGGTATGTCTGTCTAACAACTGAGAAGCATAATTTGCCTTGCATGAATACTAGTGGATATTTACCACAAAGGAGAAGATTCACTCAAATGAGTATTTAACTCTTCTCAGGAAGATCATACTTTACAAAAAGGTTATGATTATTCCAAATAGTGTGAATGCCAATTAATCTCCAAAAGGGCTATGCTTCCAAAAGGCTATGGAGATTCCTGATTTTCCAAAAGGTTGTGATCTCTAAAAGGTCATGCCTTTCCAAAACAAACTACCTATAAAGATCACATTCATAGTGTGGGGTCCTCCTGGACTTAACTCTGCTTATGATCCTGAGTGTTCTTTTACAACTATTCGAACTGTGGTAAATCTACCGAGTTAGTTACATATATTAGTTGACCATATACTATTCATATGCAGGTTTAAGTAGTATACCACACACTCTATGAGGCTACCTGGAAACTGCAGCTGGTAAACAATGCAGCCATTACAATACTGGTGGCATGTTCCCAATATCTAATATAATCATTTAGAAGATGCAACATTTGCACTACTATTTCAATTGTAATGGCTGCTGGCATTTTTCAGGCGTGAATCCATGTACTTTTCTTTTTTTGATAGACTATCTCTACACTAATACACCTGTACAGGAAGTTGCTATAATCCTTTCCCAAGAATACATGGTTGACAGGCACAAGCAACAAGGTCTTTTCATTAAATGGTCCTAGGTCGTAGAACTTCCTCTCACTGAGGCTTTATGGACTCTAACCTGCCAATGTTCAAATGTGTTTTTAAATATTATATATTTCAGGTCCCCATTTCTGGATATTTTGTCTGCATATTCATAGAATTTATGAAATATTCAAAGACATAGTTGTGTTGGTCTGTTTTAGCATGCAAAGATGTTTTAAAAAACCATGTAGTACTTTTGAGTCTATGAAGGCTTGCACTAGAAATTTGTCTCAGTTTCAAAGACTCTCGAGCAGGCATGGACAAACTTCGGCCCTCCAGGTGTTTTGGACTTCAACTACAATTCCTAACAGCCTACTGTCTGTTAGGAAATATGGGAGTTTAAGTCCAAACCACCTGGAGGGCCGAAGTTTGTCCATGCCTGTTCTAGAGGATGAATAAGTTACGGGTAAGGTTTCCTCCTTGTAAATTGTGCTATCTAAAAAAAACCTACTGTTTAAATTATTTTTGATTTACTGTCTTATTGCAATTTGGTTTTATTTCATTATGTTTTACTCACATGAGCCATCATACAAAGACTAGGTCCTAAAAGGTATGCAGTGAGAAGCTGTATGAGAGATACATATAAATGTTATTAGCTACTATTCCATCTGATGCAATTATGACTTTCTACAGTTGAAACTGATAACAGAAACAAATTTGTTTTGTAACAATTAGAAAGCATCTCTAAACCCAGCATAACAAATGACACTTTTGTTATCTAGAGAATGTAGAGGTGTTTTACAAAAGATTCCGTAGAAATAATACACTCCAAATAAATTCTTGAACAGCTAGAATTCCCGTTAATGTTAGTTAACGAACACGTGCTTATTCAGAAGGGAATATACCATTATTCACGACATATGACCTCTAACCTCTTGGGATTTCTGCAACAAAAGAACTACAACCCACCCACACATTTGCTATGTAGAGGTTTATTCAAGCCTTTAGACCAAGTCTTTGTACATACTACCTTGCTTTGCCCTAAACTGAATACATATTTCTCATTTATTTCTTTGTAACTCTAGAAAAAACCCAAAATTAAGATTAATTTTAAAGTAATAAAATGAGCATTCTCTCGCTGAAGTTATAGTATTTACTGTAAATGGATGGATGCATCTCCTAAATTCTACATTGTGATGCTATGCTGCATTTTTAGTTTTTGAATGAACTTGCCCACATCTAAATAAACTCACAATACATTCTGGAACAACACAGCACATCTTTTCATAAAAAGCAAAAATAGGCTCAAGCTCAGGCTAATTTAAAAGACAGGTGTTCTGTTTTGGCAAATGATTTTTATATATACTGAAGAGAGGTCCACTATTCTATCCAACTGCAAACAATGAGGAGGAGGGGAAAATTCTATTTCTAAACACTAGAATATAGAATGAACTCAGAACTTTATTAGAGCCTTTTGTTTAGATCTGTATTTTATGATAAAGTATTATGTTTCCTTCCGAACATATAGGTTATTTAGATGGGGCAAAATTATTAACGTTCACCTGAAGTTTCATATTTTCAAATTCCCATTTTATTCCAAAGAAATGTACAGATGGAAAGTTTCATTGTAAGGAAACAGTTCTTCAAGAAAATTCAAAGCACTAATTTAATGACAGTCTCTGGAAAAGAAGATCCAGTTCTACCATTGCTATTATAAATGTGTACAACTTGTATCTCTTACAGTTGTTACATGCATACTACTAAATCCAGGAACACTTCAGCATTGCTGACATGTGAGTGTGAAGGGCAGTAAGGATTTGTTATCTTATCAAAGAAATAACATCTACAAATAAAGAATGCTGCAAGGAGGGCAGCACTGAACGTTTTCTGCTTTATCGCATTATGGAATTCCATTTCCAACCCTACAGAACTCCAACAACATGGATCACTAACACAATTTCATTTCCCCACCAACTTTTTCATTTTCTTTTATTATTTGAAACTTGCTCTGTCTTTAGAGAAAGAAAAGCTGAACTGAAAAGCACATGAACAAGAGAGTGGGAGCACAGTCTAGAGATAAACGGTTGCTTTTTCATCAACACAGATCTATTTCTTCGAATGTTAAGTCCCTAAAACACCAAGTGATCAAGTAAGCATTGGTAGGACTTTAAGCTCCAAATGTCTAAGGTGACAGATGATGTATCCAGAATGCAAGTGAGCAGTTTTTGTAGGTTAGCTGTTTGAATAACCTGTCCAACTAGGGAAGGCAGCAGAAAAGTAATGGACGTATACATGCTAAGCTGAGAAAATTTTCTATTAGACTCCTTTGCTCTGAAAAGGGAGCACCTACCATCTTCCATCTAGCCTGCCCTACATTCCTATGCCTCACATCTTTGCTATCTTTCATAGAGCAGGAAGGGACTCCAAGGGCCATCCAGTCCAACCCCATCCTGACACACAAAAATATACAACTAAAACATTCCCAACAGGTGTCCATCCAGCCTCTGCTGAAAAACATCAAAAGAAGGAGAGTCCAAAAAAAATGCTGGCTTTTAATCTGAGGCTGGATTGCTATCTAGCATTTAAAAAGGTAAAGTTTTCCCCCTTGCATTAAGTCTAGTCGTGTCCAACTCGGGGGGGGGGGGGGTGCTCAATCTTCATTTCTAAGCTAAAGGGTCGGTGTTGTCCATAGATGCCTCCAAGGTCATCTGGCCGCCATGATTGCAAGAAGCTAGGTTACCATCCTTCCTACCTATTGATCTACTGACATTTGAATGTTTTCAAACTGCTAGGTTTGCAGAAGCTGGGGCTAACAGTGGGAGCTCACCCCATTTCCTGGACTGGAACCGCCAACCATTCAGCAAGTTCAGCAGATCAACCGAGAGTAAAACTAATATAGCAAAGGAAATTGCTGTGGGGTGGGTTAGAGCAGGGAATCAAGTTCCATTTGAATACATTTAAAAGCCCTGTGCAATGTAACCTGCCTGGATAAAGAGTTTGGAAAGTTACTTTTAAAAGCAACCAGTTTCAAAATAATAGATAGCGTTTTGTAGGGATTACATTTCTCTCTTTCAGCTCTTATCTACCTAAGCCAGGCTTGGACCAACTTGGGCCCTCCGGGTGTTTTGAACTGCAACTCCCACAATTCCTAACACCGGCTGTTAGGAATTGTGGGAGTTGCAGTCCAAAACACCTGGAGGGCCCAAGTTGGGCCATGCCTGAGATAGATAGTAAGGAAACGTTTCTCAACCTGGGGGTCGGGACCTCTGAGGGGGTCATGAGGGGGTGTCAGAGGGGTCACCAAAGACCATCAGAAAACATGGTGGTTGTTAGAGTGGTCAAGCATTTTTGTGTTCTCAAATAATATGCTGTGTCCAGGTTGCTTCATCAGGTGCTCTGCTATGGCTGACTTCTCTGGTTGAAGTAGTCCGCAGTGCCTTTCATGTTCTTTGATTCGTGTTTGGGCAATGCTGTGCTTGGTGGTCCCTATGTAGACTTGTCCACAGCTGCATGGTATACGGTAGACTCCTGCAGAAGGGAGAGGATCCCTCTTGTCCACCATGTCAGACTACACAAAGAAGCCATTGAAATCCACAAGCATGTGGACAATTTCAACAGAAAGGAGGAAACCATGGAAATGAACAAATCTATCTAGATACAAAGACACTCCAATAAAAGAAACAAACTGGACAAAAGTAACAGATTATTTAAAAGGGAAGAATTATAAGACATTAATCTAAAATAACTGAAATTAAACCTCATATGATAGAAGGAGAGAAAGTTTCAAATAAAGGAGAGCAGAAGAAAGAGAAAAAGAAGGACACCTCCATCACGATACTCAGGAAGTCTAGAAGATCTTCACATTTTATTTTATTATATTTTACTTTTGAGTATATATCATTCAGGTATTTTTCTCCCTAAATTATTATTATTATCTTTTTTCTCTCTTTTTTTTTCTTGCTTCACTGTTTCCTACTTTCCTATCTTCTCGCAAATATTCTCCCACTTTCCCTGTAACTCTATAAAATACTCAATAAAAACTATAATTTAAAAAAAAGAAAATGAACAAAATCTGGCTACCAGTATTAAAAAACTCTAAAATTACAACAGTAAAACAACAGAGGGGAAACAATCAGGCACACCTAATCACCACTCAACAAAAGATTGCCCCTGGCACTGCCAGGCCATCAAATGCTAATCAAGGTGGTCAGTTGAAACATTCACACCTAGCTTCAACAGACAAGGTTTCTTTGTCCCACCCTGGTCATTCCACAGATATATAAACCCTTTTTCCTAGTTCCAACAGACCTCACTACCTCTGAGAATGCTTGCCATAGATGCAGGTGAAACATCAGGAGAGAATGCCTCTAGAACAGTGTTTCTCAACCTGGGGGTCGCGAGGGGGTCGCCAATGACCATAAGAAAACATAGTATTTTCTGTTGGTCATGGAGGTTCTGTGTGGGAAGTTTGGTCCAATTCTATCATTGGTGGGGTTCAGAATGTTATTTCATTGTGGGTGAACTATAAATCCGTCTCAAATGTTAAGGTCTATTTTCCTCAAACTCCTCCAGTGTTCACATTTTGGTATATTGAGTATTTGTACCAAGTTTGGTCCATATCCATAATTGTTTGAGTCCACAGTGCTCTCTGGATGTAGGTGAACTGCAACTCCAAAAATTTAAGGTCAATGTCCACCAGATCCTCCCAGTATTTTCTCTTGGTCATGGGAGTTCTGTGTGCCAAGTTGGTTCAATTTCATCATTGGTGGTGTTCAGAATGCTCTTTGATTGTAGGTGAACTATAAATCCCAGCAACTACAGCTCCCAAATGACAAAATTAATCCCCTCCCAACCCCACCAGTATTCAAATTTGGGCATATTTGGGATTTGAAAATACATCCTGCATATAAGATATATACGATTCATAACAGTAGCAAAATTAGAGCTATGAAGTAACAATGAAAATGTTATGGTTGGGGTTCACCACAACATGAGGAACTGTACTAAAGGATAGGAAGGTTGAGAAACACTGCTCTAGAACATGGCCATATAGCCCGAAAAAACCTACAACAACCCAAACTAAGGGATATCTCTCCTTCATTGACTATTCTAAAGCCTTTGACTGTGTGGATCATAATAAATTGTGGCAAGTTCTTGGTGGGCTGGGCATACCAAGCCACCTTGTCTCTCTCCTGAGGAATCTGTACAAGGACCAAGTAGCAACAGTAAGAACTGACCACGGAACAACAGACTGGTTCAAGATTGGGAAAGGCGTACGGCAAGGCTGCATACTCTCACCCAACCTTCTTAACTTGTATGCAGAACACATCATGCGATGTGCGGGGCTTGATGAATGCAAGGCTGGGGTGAAAATTGCTGGAAGAAACATTAACAACCTCAGATATGCAGATGACACCACGCTGATGGCCGAAAGCGAGGAGGAGCTGAGGAGCCTTCTAATCAAGGTGAAAGAAGAAAGCGCAAAAGCCGGGTTGCAGCTAAATTAAAAAAACCAAGATTATGGCAACAAGAATTATTGATAACTGGGAAATAGAGGGAGAAAATGTGGAGGCCGTGACAGACTTTGTATTTCTAGGTGCAAAGATTACTGCAGATGCAGACTGTGGCCAGGAAATCAGAAGACGCTTACTTCTTGGGAGGAGAGCAATGTCCATTCTCGATAAAATAATAAAGAGTAGAGACATCAGACTGGCAACAAAGATCCGCCTAGTCAAATTTATTTATTTATTTATTTATTTACTTTGCTTATATACCGCTGTATCTCAAGCCCGAAGGCGACTCACTGCGGTTCACAAACAGTAAAAACAGTAGAAACAGCAGTGGTTCCATACAACATATAACAATTGACTTAACACATTATCCATAAATTACCAATAAGCAATTACAATGCACAATTATTACAAAAAACAACCGTACCCAATCTTCTCATCATCCAAGCGTAGTCCAGGTTCGTCGTCCCTTGTTCCATTCCTATATTCCATTACCAGATTGCACTAAATTACTCAAACGCCTGCACAAACATCCAGGTCTTCACCTTTTTGCGGAATACCATTAGAGATGGTGCTAGTCTAATGTCCGTAGGAAGGGCGTTCCACAGCCGAGGAGCCACCACCGAGAAGGCCCTATCTCTCGTCCCCGCCAGCCGAGCTTGAGAAGCAGGCGGGATCGAGAGCAGGGTCTCCCCGGAAGATCTCAAAGTCCTGGTGGGTTCAGAGGCAGAGATGCGGTCAGATAGGTAGCTTGGGCCGGAACCGTTTAGGGCTTTAAAGGCCAACGCCAGCACTTTGAATTCAGCCCGGTAGCAGATCGGTAGCCAGTGGAGTTGGCGCAACAGGGGGGTTGTATGCTCCCTGCGCTCCGCTCCTGTTAAAATCATGGCTGCCGAGCGTTGGACTAGTTGGAGCTTCCGAGCTGTCTTCAAAGGCAACCCCACGTAGAGAGCGTTGCAGTAGTCTAAACGGGATGTAACCAGAGCGTGGACTACCGTGGCCAAGTCAGACTTCCCAAGGTACGGGCGCAGCTGGCGCACAAGCTTTAGCTGTGCAAATGCTCCCCTGGTCACCGCCGAAACCTAGTCAAAGCCATGGTCTTCCCTGTAGTAACCTACGGATGTGAGAGCTGGACCTTAGGGAAGGCTGAGCGAAGGAAGATCGATGGTTTTGAGCTGTGGTGTTGGAGGAAAGTTCTGAGAGTGCCTTGGACTGCGAGAAGATCCAACCAGTCCATCCTCCAGGAAATAAAGCCCGACTGCTCATTGGAGGAAGGATACTAGAGACAAAGTTGAAGTATTGTCGATGGCTGGAATCACTCAGTTCTTGTGGGTTTTTTCGGGCTATATGGCCATGTTCTAGAGGCATTTCTCCTGACGTTTCGCCTGCATCTATGGCAAGCATCCTCAGAGGTGAGGTCTGCTGGAACTGGGGAAAAAGGGGTTTATATATCTGTGGAATGACCAGGGTGAGACAAAGGGCTTTTGTAAGTTGGGCTAGGTGTGAATCTTTCAACTGACCACCTTGATTAGCATACAATGGGCTGACTGTGCCTGGAGCAAACTCTTCTTGAAAGGTGATTAGATGTCCCTGCCTGTTTTTCTCTCTGCTGTTTTTGCTGTTGCAATTTTAGAATTTTTTAATACTGGTAGCCAGAGTTTGCTCCAGGCACAGTCAGCCCATTGTATGCTAATCAAGGTGGTCAGTTGAAAGATTCACACCTAGCCCAACTTACAAAAGCCCTTTGTCTCACCCTGGTCATTCCACAGATATATAAACCCCTTTTTCCCAGTTCCAGCAGACCTCACCTCTGAGGATGCTTGCCATAGATGCAGGCGAAACGTCAGGAGAAATGCCTCTAGAACATGGCCATATAGCCCGAAAAAACCCACAAGAACTGAAAGTTGAAGTACTTTGGCCATATCATGAGGAGACAGCAAAGCCTAGAGAAGACAATTATGCTGGGGAAAGTGGAAGGCAAAAGGAAGAGGGGCCGACCAAGGGCAAGATGGATGGGTGGCATCCTTGAAGTGACTGGACTGACCTTGAAGGAGCTGGGGGTGGTGACTGCCTGACAGGGAGCTCTGGCGTGGGCTGGTCCATGAGGTCAGTCGAAGAGTCGGAGACGACTGAACGAATGAACAACAACAAAACAATTGTGGAATGTCAGTGCAGAGACCTAAGTCCTGAAGACCCTCAAAATCAGCTCCCTTACCTGTAGGAAGAAGCCAAGAGGAGCCCTGTTGCGACTTCAGCTCGCGCCCGAAGCCCTGCGTTGGCGACGCCGCTCCGTCTCTATAGCGACTTCTCGCGAGATTTCCTCTCCGATCGCACTCTTCGCTCCTTCCCCCCCCACACCCGTCGTGACGTCAGAGCGCCGACCTGTCAAAAACCGTCTTTATATCGGCAAAACAACCCATACAATTTAGATTCAAGAGCAAAATTAAGTAAATAAGAATACCTGCTCAATTCCACGAGTCAAAATAAGACATACAGAGGGAAAAAAAGCTAATTCCTGACGTGGAAAACATTTTACAGCCACCTTTCAGCTCGCTAACGGGAAAACAAGATGGCGGCGCTTGAGGGGGTTTTTTTCCTCCCTCCTCTTCCCCCCTCCCTTCTTCTTTCGCCTCCTTTCAAACCCGAGGAAGCCCCGCCCCTTTTCCTTTTCCCCCAGCATGCTTTGCGCATTTCTAACGAATTTCGTTACGAGTTTGCCGTTTGGGCGCCATTTTCGAGTGTGGAAGCCGCCAAGGCTGCAGGCAGGAAGCGAGCGGAGGGAGCAAGCTCTGAAGGGAGGCGCAGGACGGTAAGCGGGCCTTGGGATCCGGGGAAGGGAGGAGAAGCAGCCCCACGCTTGGAAATCATCGCTGTTCATACTGTGACCATTACTGATTGCTTCAGCTTCTGGAGATATTGGAGGAACTCGAATCAGAGGAGAGAAACGTCCCCAATAAATGGGGTCTATGACTTCTCAATGGGGTTGAAGGGAAAAATATAATCATGATCATTATGATCAATATTAATAATAATAATAGACAAGATGAGGTGTTGTTTTCCATCGGAGTCTGAATTTAAAAGAAAGAAAAAAGGCGGCATTCTTTAATTTCCCTTTTTCCCCGCCACAATTTGCCTCTATCGATCTATATCTATCTATCTATATTTTCTTAATGGGAGAAATTAGAAACCTTATGCTTTTTTAAGGTTGTCACAAGAGATAATATTTTTACTAATTTTTGAAAATATTTTTCGTCGTTTTATTTATTTATTTATTTAAAAGTTTTGTATTCTCACCTCTCTTGAGGGACTCAGACCGGTTTCCAACCATAATATCACATACAATCAATAAAACGTCATAATACATATTACAGTAAAAGATTAAAACAGCAATTACAATCAATAACTATAATTAGGTTCTTGTAGGTTTTTTCGGGCTATAGGGCCATGTTTCCAACAGACCTCATTACCTCTGAGGATGCTTGCCATAGATGCAGGCGAAACGTCAGGAGAAATGCCTCTAGAACATGGCCCTATAGCCCGAAAAAACCTACAAGAACCTAGTGATTCCAGCCATCGATCTATATCTATCTATATTTTCTTAATGGGAGAAATTAGAAACCTTATGCTTTTTTAAGGTTGTCACAAGAGATAATATTTTTACTAATTTTTGAAAATATTTTTCGTCGTTTTATTTATTTATTTATTTAAAAGTTTTGTATAGCCTTCTCACCTCTCTTGAGGGACTCAGACCGGTTTCCAACCATAATATCACATACAATCAATAAAACGTCATAAGACATATTACAGTAAAACATTAAAACAGCAATTACAATCAATAACTATAATTATGTCACAGGAGAGGTGGTCATAATATTTTTTCTAATTTATTATTTTTCGTCGTTTTATTTATTTATTTAAAAGTTTTGTATACCGGCCTTCTCACCTCTCTTGAGGGACTCAGACCGGTTTCCAACCATAATATCACATACAATCAATAAAACATCATAATACATATTACAGTAAAAACATTAAAACAGCAATTACAATCAATAACTATAATTAGGTTCTTGTAGGTTTTTTCGGGCTATAGGACCATGTTTCCAACAGACCTAATTTGATTCTGTACTTGGCACTTATTTCCCAACTATCTCTACTGTCCAACTACCGGTTTCCAACCATAATATTTATTTATTTATTTATTTGGGGTTCTTTTACCCCACCCTTCTCACCCCGAAGGGGACTCAGGGCGGCTTACAAAAGCAAAGGCACAATTTGATGCCTGCATCATAAAGACAATCAAACACAGAATTACATCAATACACAGTTAACAACAAATATACATTATTTTTATCATCCTTGTGGAAGGCTTCTCTCATGTCCCCGCGTGAGGAGCTGGAGCTGGTAGAGGGAGCTTATCCGCCTCTCCCCAGATTCGAACCTGCGACCTGTCATACTAAAATCGTTGCTCATCATCCTCCATCCATATCTCAGGGTGTTGGCTCACTCGTCGAATGCCTGTCTCCATAACCAAGTCTTCACCTGTTTCCTAAATGAAAATTAATAAGCCTTAATCAGCAGAGAAACTGGTCCTACTTTTTATAAAAGTCGTCTCAACCGATTGTAATATAATGATAAAAAAATAATAATTTATTTGTAACCCACCCTATTTATTTAAGGGACTCAGGGCGGTTTCCAACAAGCCTCACAACTGACAAACCTCTGAGGATGCTTGTCATAGATGCAGGCGAAACGTCAGAAGAAAACGCCTCTAGAACATGGCCAATATATTATTAGCATAGCACAATATTATATATTACTATATTGTACTGTACCACTATAATGCAATATTAGTAATATTACATGTAATACATATATAATTATTATATTATTTATTATTAGTAGTATTGTATTACATTATAATATCAATATTATATGTACATACAGTATATTATATGTATTGTCGAAGGTTTACATGGCCAGAATCACCTGATTGTTGTAGGTTTTTTTGGGCTGTATGGCCATGTTCTAGAGGCATTCTCTCCTGATGTTTCGCCTGCATCTATGACAAGCATCATCAGAGGTAGTGACTGGATGCTTGCCATAGATGCAGGCGAAACGTCAGGAGAGAATGCCTCTAGAACATGGCCATACAGCCCGAAAAAACCTACAACAACCCAATATATTTTATTATTAACATAGTAGACTGTACTTTCTTATAGTGGTTGATTTTGTCACATTCTCAAGTATTTTAGCTACAACACTATATGGAGTCTGATGTGGTCCAATAGGAGGTCCAAAGGGTCGACACTATTTGTTACCACACAGAGTGACACCAACCCTAGTGACGGCAGAAGTTCAACAGAACCTCCTTCCGCAGTCTTAAAACACTGCCCGGTTGTGCTATTAAGGCAAGCCTTAATGTTTCCAACAAACTCACAACCTGTGAGGGTGCCTGCCATATATGTGGATGAAATGTCAGGAGAGAATGCTTCTGGAACATGGCCAGACAGCCCAGAAAACTCACAGCTACCCAGTGATTCCAACCATTAAAGCATGCGACAATACATTAGCAAGCATGTATAAATCTCATATTTTTCCTGTTTGTCTATTATGGCATTGATGCAAGCATGGGCAAACTTCGACTCTCCAGATGTTTTGGACTTCAACTCTCACAATTCCTAACCGCCAGTAGCTGTTAGGGATTCTGGGAGTTGAAGTCCAAAACACCCGAAGGACCGAAGTTTGCCCATTCCTGCCTTAATGCCATAATAGGCAAACAGGAAAAATCCAAATCAGAAACAGTGAATAAAAACAACCTCAATATAAACTTATGAGAATTAATATTTATATTAGGATTTTTAATGCTTTGCCTTAGTGTTGTATATGGTTTTAGTGATTTTAATTTATAATTATATGCCAGTGTTTAGCTATTGTGATTTTGTTTTATTATATGTATGGTGGCATTGAATTCTTGCCAATGAGAAAGACAGTATATAAATATACTATATAAACCCAAAAGTAACCAGAGTAAAAAACTTAAAAGTAATAGAATGGAATGGAAAGGCGACAAAAAGGGCATCTCCAAGGCAGGATCTCCACTGCCAAATAATGGAGTTCAAACTGAGCTGCATTATATGGGTCTACAAACAAGGGCAAACTGCGGCCCTCCAGGAGTTTTGGACTTCAACTCCCACAATTCCTAACAGCTGGTAAGCTGTTAGGAATTGTGGGAGTTGAAGTCCAAAACACCTGGAAGGCCAAAGTTTGCCTGTTCCTGGTCTTCACTAAATCTCAGGGAGGCAACTTGCAGTATGTCAAAGCATTTATTTTTAAAAACTTCGACATTCGGTTCATAGTGGAGTTTGGGGTTTTCTGGCCCGGAGCTGCTGAGTGATATCTGGCTGTAACTCCAGAAGTGTTTTTGGCAAAAATTCTAACCCCTTTAGGGGGGGGGGGGAGTGGGGAAGAGATGATGGATTTATGGAGGGTAAAAAAAAAAAAGCCTGACTCGTTTATGAGGACGCCTAACTTTTCACAATTCTTGTGGCATAAAACGACACCCTTTGAAGGAGCCTGCTTCCTTTTAGCCCTCAAAAGCAAATGTTGGTTCCTTCAGTTAAATTCTTTCAGAGTGTGCGAAAGCTATGAATGTCAGCGAAATGGAACAGTTGCAATACTTTCCCTAAGTGCACCGTTATCTTAAAAGACATGCTAGTCACTGCCACTCCCAAACGGGGTCGACACTCATCGAGAGACTTTTTAAAAAACTTGATGTTAATTTTATGATCTGATCTGTCTTTTTTTTTAATAAAAAAAACCATTACATCTATTAAACATCCCTTGTCTTTTAACTCCCCCATAGTGTTAAATATCACAGAGTATGGTGTTTAGTATTAAACTTTCTGATCAAGTTTCACGAAAACTTGACAACTGTTCTTTCAGTCCAGTTGTCACTGGATTAAGACATTCATAGGCAGTTTGAGGTTTTATTTATTTTATTTTTTAAAAACGAGTGAGGAAGCAGCACTCTGCTAATTCAACCCCGTAATCATATTGCTATATTTTTAAAAGTGCACATGAAATGTAAGAAGTTATACTTGTGTACAGCAGAGTCTTCATATATTTTTATATCCTTCTGAATAGTTAGGAAGGGTCCTCAATATCCAATGGAGTTTGGTTCCAGGATCGCTGTGAATATCAAAATCTGTGGATGCTCAAGTCCCACTGTATTAACTGCTGTGATAAAATGGCACCCCTTATATAACTTTGCAAAATGAATGTTTTAAAAAAATACTTTCAAATTGTGGATGGCTGAGTCCATGGATACAGAAAACCGCCTGTATTTTTGTTTTACTGCCAGTTTATTTAATTTTTTCATATGTTGACTCTGTATGACAGCTGTAAATTATGAGCTGGAATGTACAATCCTATCCTAGTATTGAGGTTGTGTATTAGGAGAAGTGTGAAAGCCTATGCCTGTCATTTACAAAAATGACTTGAAACTTAGTAAATGCTAAGGATACACCTTTAAGCATAGGTGTTTGGATTTCATTGTTTGCATTAGCAACAAAGGTACAATCCTTCTATAGATTGATTGTTTGGAATTTGAACAGCCAACAGAAATCATGCCAAGCAAAAGAAATAAAGTGTCTACAGCAGTCCAACGTAAAAGCAATGAACCATTGGAGGAATCCTCTAATGACGGGGAACCTGAAGCCAATAGACATGTGACTGGACTACCCCAGCAAGGTCGGTCTCTTACCAAATGGATATATTTGTTGTATAAACCTGGCCCTACAGATAGCTTGTTTGATGTTAGGAGTGCACAGATATTTGTAATACTTTGATGGTTTATACACTACTTCTCAGTGTTAACTCTTAATGGTGTTAGAGGCAATATTTGATGTTCCTAACTATCCAATGCTTATTTCTGCTATTCACTCTACAGTCTTAGATCATCACATGCTAGAAATGTGGGCCAATAGCTTAAACAGATAGAATTTTGAGATGTGTGAAAGTAGATACTTGTTGCTTGTTTTCTTAGTCAGTTACTATTTATATGTCTGCACTAAAAGGGAGGAATAGGTGTTATAATCTGTTCCTCATCAAGTCATTCAAAGAAAAGATTGCCTCAAGGAGTTAAAAAAGGCCCTGCTTCTTGTTGAAATCTAAGTGCCCAGTTATGTGTGTGTGTGACAGACAGACAGACTTCCTGTCTTTGAGGAATAGTACTACTGCTGTCATTGTGCAGCAGTCCCCATACCATGTACTTAAAACTATATGTAAGCTCTGGATATGCCTGGAATTGCAAATCAATAGCAATATTTGATTATTTTCTTGGATTTATATGAATCAAATGTAACAGTAGTATCTTTTGTAGCAGCATATTACTTGGTGAAATGTTTGCCTAATTTGTGAATAATTCAATAAAACCATATGAGATATATTACATATCTGATTCCCTTAGTAAGCATATGGGTAGAAATGTGCTGACACTCCTATAGCAGAGGATCTTAAAGGGAAGGGTCCTAGCTTCTATTGTTTATTCTCTATTAATAAGGTACTTATAGATGTAAGTAGCCAATAAGTGTGTGTGTCTCTGCTTCTTTTTGGCTGTCTCTAGCAGTCTCAGACGAAGTAGTTGACAATCGAAGTTTGGAAGAGATTTTGAGTAGCATCTCTCCTCCCCCACCTCCAGCAATGACCAATGAAGCTGGAGCTCCTCGTCTCATGATAACTCACATTGTAAACCAGAACTTCAAATCTTATGCTGGGGAGCAAATTCTAGGACCGTTTCATAAGGTATCCTTTCTATTTTAAATTATTTCTAAGCTGAGGAAAGCCTTTTTTTTACTCTGCTGCTTATAGTTAAGAGTAACTTCATATTGCCAACTAACCTGGGGGGTAGGGGAAGAAATGAAAGACTTTCAGTTGGTATTGTCTGTACTTCTTTTTTTAAGACATTGATTTTTGTGGAGTTAGTGACAAGTAAACAAATGTTTTGTTCCCTGTTACCTTTGAATGATGACCAGTAATTAAAGTAGAAAGTTCAAGTTTGCTTAGTTTGAAACTTTTTGATTTTAATGGTGATACTAATTGTGAAGAAGCTTCTATATAAGATTCTGCTTACTGGATTCAGCTCATTTTTCAAAGTTTACAGGATAAAACTTTAGAAATTTGATCTAATAGGTGGTGTCTTTGACTAGCTTGTACTTTTTATCCTTGGCTGTAAAAACTAAGCTTTCCAGTAGTTCGCAATTTCCTGCACTAGGTGTAACAGTATTTTAAACTGTCTACAAAGCATTGAAGCATAATTATTGGTAGCTATTAAACTGGAGTGCTCTCTTTTTTCTGTTATGTAGCGTTTTTCATGCATTATTGGACCAAATGGCAGTGGAAAGTCTAATGTGATTGATTCCATGCTCTTTGTTTTTGGTTATCGAGCACAAAAAATAAGATCCAAAAAGCTTTCAGTACTGATACATAACTCTGATGAACATAGTGATATTCAGAGCTGCACTATAGAAGTTCACTTTCAGAAGATCATTGACAAGGTATGTTTTATTTTGTGGAAGATCTGCCACCTAATAACTTATGAATTATTACCATATTCTTTATTGGGACCTCATAAGGTCATCATTGGCTTTTTAAAAATAACCTTTTTGGTATTGCTTATCATTAGGTATAAAACATTAGGAGCTATCTATCTCTTCAAAAGTACATGATTTGCACATCTTTGATACTACCTCCTCCTCCTAAAAACAGTATTCTAAATTCAGATTTTTTTTCTTTCAAAACACTATCTTGATCAATATTGTGGAATTAGCATTCAGAATGAGAGCTTGGTGAAGGGCAATAGAGGGTACAATTGTAAGTGATATGATATGTTGCCTTTTTAAACTATCATAATTGCTATTACAGCCTGCATGTAAATATAATAGACTCTCAGTTTACCGGCATGATGGGGATTGGTAGATGCCAAATAAAAGTAGTTTGTGATTGCTTGAGAGTTACTATTAAAAATAGGCCTATCTAATACTATACTATACCAAAAAATTGACTTGATTTTGCTATTAAGAAAATGCAGTAATTAAAAGCAAATTAAGATAAAGACAAGCGTAACTTAATGTAACATATTATAAAACTGGTGCTGTGAATGCAGTATTTTCTTTGATTTTTTCCCAGTTGCTTGAGAGTTTTGGTTGTTTGTCTTCTAGTTAACTGAGAGTACTATGTGTGTGTGTGTATATATATATATACACACACACACACACACACACACATATATATATATATATGTGAAATTCTTAATTCTAGTATATTTTTAAGCAGAAAATGGTTCCCCTATTTACATGACCTAACCATATCTAATCCTGCATTACAGTTTTTACTATTAAAAAACCTTTTAAAAGCAAATTTTCTATATAATATTATTATTGGATTACATTATTTTTTAAAAAAAATACAATAGGAAAACAGTCAATTTTTACACATAACTGAGATGTTGGGTTTTAAGCTGTATGTCACAAAAGCTGTGTATGGCTTATTAGAAAGTTTATTAAGCATAGTGAGTAATATAATTCATTTTGAATTCTTTTCATACTATTCCACTTTTTTTCAAGCTACCCATTCAGAATGGTTCAGCATCAGTATTCAGATTTTGAGGGGTTTCCTTGCTAAAGACTAGTAGTAACCCTGAACTGACAGGCTGTTTTATAAGTTGAGTGGAAGAACATGGGAGAGAAGCATGTTTTCTACCAGGTAGTGGTTGACAAACATTAAGACTACAACCCTTATATACAGTCTATCTTGGATTAATTCCAGTGGAGATTGCAAATTTATTCAAAAGAAGACCTTGGACAGTACATTAGATTGTTCAAATGTTTTGCTACTGGGCTTAGACTATATGGAAAGGTTCTGCATTTTCAAGACTTATATGACAGTACAAATTTTGGCATGACTAATAAGGTGCATATATTATAAGATTTATGAGTTTCAGTGGTAGTGTGAAATAGGATTTTTCAGACTTGTGAGAATAAAACAGTTTAACTTTGAAAATTTGGATAGACCTGTGGTTCAATACTAACAATTGTTTTTCTGGTTTGTTTTCCTTCAAAACAGGAAGGGGATGATTATGAAGTCATTCCCAATAGCAATTTCTATGTCTCCAGAACAGCCTACAAAGATAATTCTTCAGTATACCATATCAGTGGAAAGAAAGCAACATTTAAAGATGTAGGGTTGTTGCTCCGGAGTCATGGAATTGATCTAGATCATAATAGGTTTTTGATTTTACAGGTAATGTTGACTATTTTGTTCCTAAATATATTTTTTGTCTTTAAATAGGGATAGGTACCTTTGAGTCTTATGTTTTGGAAGCTTTAAAGTACTCTAGCAGCACATCATGATTTGTATGTCATAGTAAATATGCAAGTCATTATTTGCTGCTTTAGAATTTTAAAGAAGAGAATCATTTGAAAATTATTTCTGCATTATAGATAGCCAGGTGAATAAAACAATTGTTATACTTGTTCCGCCCTAGCAGCACGTAAATATTGGTGTAGTAAAGATAATCTTAACCCCAATATTGTTGTGCTGCTTAAGCGTGGCAGGGATTAAGCAACATTGTTATTTTTGTTCTGTATTGCCAGTGCAGAATTAACTATGTGATTGAAATAAACAGTAGCATTGTCTTCTAACTTTTTTGACTTTTGAAAGCCTTTGAAAGCAGTTGGTATTTTACCTTCACAGCAGTGGAAGACAAGGGTTTAAAAAAACCTATTGGTAACAGGTTTAATTAATGGTTGGTCTTTGCAATTTATATAGCTGATATTTCACTTGTAGCCACACACAAAATCCCTGAAAAAAGGAAGTAGCTTTCAGTTATTTCCACTTTCTGTTTTGTGATGATAGCCCATATTTACTAAGAAATAATGATTTTTTAAAAATTTATACAGTTTTGAAAAAAAATATTGGAAATAATGTTAAATGTACTGGAGTTAAGTGCACTTGGTAATTTTATGGGTTACTTCTGGAATAATTTTAAAGCACACAAATCACGCATTTGGAATTTATTTAGAAAATACTTATCAGTTCCAAGCAAACAGTGAAAAGCCTTGTGGTGAGTTCTGGGCCCTCAGCTCCCATACAACCTAAGCAGGAGTATTTTCTAATGCTCTTTGAAATAGCACAAGGGCTTGAAAGGAGTAGGCAAAAAGTATTATTCTGCAGAGGCATTTATGTGTGCTTAAGGTTCCTTATGGCCTAGTTTTCTACTTGTACTTACACTTGTATAAACTCATATATTTAAATATAAAGTTGTTTATGTAAGAATACAATAGATATTGGTGCTTTTCTGTCAAATACAAGTATAAAATCAGATTTTTAACTTCATTAAATTTCTAGAAATCATATTTTATAATTAAAAAGTAACAGGATTATGTGAAGTATGAATAGTAGATATACATAAGTTAAGAACACTAGTAACTTATTCAAGCTTTGTTTTTAAAAATAGTGCGCTATAATGAGTTTATTTAGTCAAAGTCATAAATGATTATAGTCTAACTTTCATTTACCAATATAATATAATAGGCTCTGGATCTCAGTTTCATAAATTAATGATACATAGATAAGATCATTCATATTTTAAAAGATTAATCACTTCATAACAAAGTACATCCATGAATGAATCCATATCAATTTCTATATTGAGAATTACAAACTCTGTTTCTTAAAAAAGCCCCAAATTAAAGGTAGAGTGTGGTCTCCTTGCATACTATTTTATGAAATACTTTGCCTTCCATCAGCCATATTACAATGTGGCTTGTGCTACCTTCAACAATGGGTCTTGCAAGCCATTTCACCACAAGGGATTGGGGGGGGGGGAGGAGTAGTTTGCATTTGATTTGAAAAGTCAAGATAACAGCACTTCTGGCTAACCTTACTGAGTGCCATGTTGCCCCAAAAGGGATTCCCCCCCCCCCTTTTACTCAGGTTGAAAAATATGTCATAATTAAATATAAATCATTCTCTGAAGTTTGCTGTCTAGCAGCCATGTACATATTGTCTGAGGATGATGAAAGTTCAATGTATTTGAAGGGAAATAGGGTTGGAGACATGTTCTGTAAAGTAAATTTGGAAATTCTGTTTAAAACTTTAGTTGTTTATACATTTCCTAGTAATAATTATTAGTCAGCTTTATATCTGAATAAACATATCTAGAAATTAATTGTTTATTATGGTAAAATAAGTTAATTGTATATCAGATATTTTTTTAAGCAATCTGCATGCTAACTGTGATACTTAAAATGAACTGATTAAGAAATAGGTGTTGGATAATAAGTTGTGTTCTTTCTTTTGGCATAATTATTTAACTAACATGTTTACTTATGATTTTTTGCTAACTGAAAATTAATTTTACACAAAATATGGCTTTTAATATGTTAGCACATTATCCTAATGGAACAGTTTCTTCTGCTGGAATTGAGAAGTATTCAATTATGCCTCCAGGTTGGGGCAGGGAGGTCTCTTCAGAGCAGTCTGGACAAAGCTGCAATAGGGAAATAGATGGAAAAATCTTATTCCACAAGCAGAATTCAGCTTGCATTGTCTGTTGCTCCATGCTTCTGTGTACACTTTTGAAGGGAGCTGAGCTACTTCACTGACTTGCAGGCTAAATTCCAGCTTCCCAGGAAGTTGGGTTAATAGTGATCTGAAGAGTTTCTACTACAAGCTGGAAAACTAGTAGTAAATTGGTGAGCAAAGAGATTACAGTGGGCAGACCTACCATGTAGTAGAGTATAATACACTGAGTAGTGCCATACATTGTCTAAAAATGTATGAACTAGTATCTGAATGGTTTAAGGTATAAGTTCTTGTAAACTCCAAAGATAAATGCTCTAAACTTAGTTGCTGCTTCATACTTTAAGATTGGATGGGTATGTTCATAACCTGGGAACTGAACAGGTTGAAAGAAATGCAATCTTTCTGGGTACAAAACTTCTATTGGTGTGCTTATTAGGAGAGTATGGCTAGCTTGTAGCACTAGAACTCAACTATAGAATGCTGTTTGGGAGAACTTTACCAGACATGGTCTGTGGGGAAGTTATTTTATTCTCTACTTACAGCAAACCATATATGGAGCTTTGAATTCCTGTGCTTTGATTTTATAAATAAAATTGGTGGCCAATACCACATTGGTTGGGTCAATAGACTATCTTACACGAACAAGCAAACGGGCCCTCCAGATATTTTGCATTACAATTCTCTTAAGAGCAAGCCTGTGATTGCTGCATGGGGATTTGGGGTGTCTTGAACCCAAAATATCTGGAAGGCACAAAGTTGTCTTATCTCAAATGTAAAGGGTAATAGCTTATGGAACCAGAGGTTAGAGATGCTATTATGATTTACTGTATTTGGCTGTTGGCTAGCATCAGGTTCATAACAAAGTTTGTTTTAAACCCAGACCGTCAAAATGCATGAGTGGTAAGTGCTTTCCCTAGGGGAGCAATATTGTCAGTGTTCTTTGCACCATATTGGATTTCATTCTGAAATGTCCCTTCAACATTTATGGAATGGACTACAGTAGGATTTTTTTCTGTATAAAATCATTTTGATCACAACCAAATTACATTGAAGTAAATATGAAATATATAATGCTTGTTCTTAGATGCAAGTTATTTTCCCCATGATTCTTTTGCATAGAATATCAGCATTTAATACTATCGGTTTGATACTAGAGGATATGCTTTTTGAATGGCGTAATGGATTCAGTTATAAGAGACTAAGTGGTATTCTTGCATTAAATTTATATTTTATCTCCTAGGCCATAAAAAGTTTACTGTGACTGAAACTTTAAAGCCTTTACCTTAATTGACATTTGTATGTCACACTTGAAAGCTGTGTTAGCATTTATTTTGGTGTACCCTGGTTGAACTAAATAATTCAGTTTAATTTTGGAGTATGTCTGTATGAAATTTATTTGCATAGTATTTTAGCAGTTTTTAAATTACATCTTTTCTTCAATCACTTCATAAATTCTTAAGAGTCTGATCATCTTTGGTTAAAAGTTAAAACTCTAAAACCAAAGTCAGTGCTTTTAGTGGATATTTAAGGGCTCCAAATACTATATATACTGATGCATAAATTAATCTCATGTTTTTGTTGTTTTGGTTTTAGAGTCAAAATAATTGATTGTGATAAGATTCATGGATAAGTCGAGGGTCATGCCACGAAGACGGGAAATTGTCAATGTTGCCTCAAGGGTCCAGCTGCTCCTGCCTGTCACTGATGCAATTTTCCCATCCAAGCATTCAAAAAAGGCATTTTGCCACTTAGGATACTTCCTTTTATTAAATAAAAATGAAGGCATAGTTTTAACTTTTAACCAAAGATGATCAATCCCCTTCTCTGAGTAGAGTGGAGAAAGGTGAGAGTTTTTGGGTGTCCTAGGATAACCTAACAGAAGCACTGAAATGCTAAATAAAACCATTGCTGCTGCCATTTTCTTACCTAGGCAGTGGTGCCATTAGAATTGGTGTAACCTAAGGTTGTTAACATGGTGTCACCTTCATCAACTTCATCCAGTACAACAATCTTTATGTTGTGCCTTGTGGGACTCTCAGAGTAGGTGGCTTATTTATAAGTAAGCACTTCTCTTCCCTTTTGTCAATGCCACCTCCCGTTTTCCCAATTGTTGCTGCAGCAGCCACTGCTATAATCCCCTTGGCTAATGAGGACTCGTGCTCCTGTTCCGGCAGCAATGTACACTCCTCTGACTTTTGAGCGGCAGGATGGCTATAGTAAATATGAGGGCTGCTGGTGGCTGCAGCCTCCTCTGATGACAACAGCAGTTCTGGGGCATTCCTGGCACTCTGTGAGAAGCACGCTGCCAGAGCAGGAACTGGGATGGAAGCATGAGGATGAGGCCTCACTGGTTGAAGAAGGAAGGGCAGCAGAGGTCTCAACAGCAATGGCTAAGATGGAAGGCACCCTAAGTATGGAATCCTCAAATTGCTTACTTCCGAGTTTACAGTTTCCTCTCCACTTTTGACTGGCCCAGAATGAAAAAGTGCAGTGGAGTAGGTCCATGTGGTGAAATAAGTTGGAAATTGCAGTGGTGGCAGTTTTTTTTGGTGTTTCCCCTCCCCAATCCTCTAGTGACACTACAGTGTTCAAATATTCAGAAAGGCCAGAAGAGCAATGTGTCAGAAAGATCACTTGCATTAATATGTGACTAATTCCAGAAAAGTTTTGAGGGTCAATTTTGTGATTTAAAAAATCCCTTTTAAAGTTGCACCACCAAATTTTAAATTTTGATTGGAACAAGCACATGTATTTTGAAAGAAAAATCTTTGTGCATGATTAAAACCTATGTCTACTTCTTATTCTAGTTTAATACAGAAATGACTAGGTAGTTTTAATTACATCACAGTATGTAACAAATTTTGGAAAAAAAGTTATTTCCTGCTTAATTGTGCGGTACTTACTTTGAAAGTTGTTATATTCTTGAAACTTTGTTTTGTGGCTGCCACAAACTATGTTGAATTAATCGATTGAGACTCTTAGCAGATAATCATTGAAGAACTGTAGCAAAATGTGCAGCAGAATGTCCTGCAAAAAGAAAGTTTTGGGGGTTTAATAGACCTTTTCTGTGTTTTTATGATAGAGCCAATTAGAAAATGACATTTATAATCCAGGAACAAAATTCCTGTTACATGGTGTAATTAGACTATTATCCTTTAGGTACTTAGATTGAGAAGAGTACCCGGGCTTTGTGTGACTTCTGTATGTACAAGGTTGTATTGTTAATAATGTAATGTTTTTAAAATAAAGTTAGGGTATTTTTTTAAAAAAACCTCCAATGCAAAGAAGTTCTATGATTTTCAAGTGCAATTTATCTCAAACATAATTTAGTTTTAATATATAAATAAGAAATGATAGTACAAAGAAATATTCTGAAGTATATGGGTGTGGTTCTACTATAAACCTTTTCATTAGACCATGAATATACACCTTGATTAAATTCAAACTGTAGATTCATGGTCTAGTGAAAAAGGTTTTAGCTATTTTTGTGTCATATGTTAAAACCTATCTGAAATTCATCAGAATTAAAAAGAAACATCTGCTATAGTTTGATACCCTCCCCCAAAGAAATGTACACTAGTTCCTGCATGTAATCATTGTCCTTTAAAAAATTTTTTAAAAAATTCACACAACATTTTACTCCTGTGTAAAACCTTAATAGTCAGGACACTGGTTCATTGTTTTTGTCTCACAATTAGTACACATGCCTGTGATTTATTTAGAAAGCAATATTGAATCTTGTGGAATTGAGGTATTATCCAGTCATAGTAAAATCCTTGATTTCAATGGAAGTTTTAAGTATATGATTACTGGTAAATCTCTCAGTGAAAGATTTTTTAAAAGCTGAATTGCAGGTAGATTGTATTATTTAATTTCTAACATTACTCACACTTAATAATACAATAAAAAGCTTGTAATTGTATAAAATAGCACTCATTACTATTTCAGTAAAGTGATATGTTAGCCATCCATGCAGATCTGTTTCCTGTGTAATTTGAGTGATGTATTCAAACACTCCCCCCCCCAAAAGACAGTAGTGATGGATTCTTTCTCAAATATTTCTTCAATATGTGTTCTCGATGCCAAAATATAGAAGTTATATAGTAAAATAAGATCCATCTAAATCCACACAAGTTTATAGCAATATAACGATTTGCATTTTAAAAATAAATGTTAAGCACATTTCTAATTTTAAAATGTTGATATTGACAAAAATAAGTAGAAATTTATTTACAGGTGTAATACAGTTATGCTTGAAGTAATGCATTCTTAAATTGCAGAAAAGTGTAGATAGGTTTGTTAGCTGATTTTTGTACATTGAAAGCTGATATATGTAATGGTACAGTGAAATTATCAGAAGTGAGAGATTAACATGCTAGTGTTGAGACTCTTAGCTGGATGAGTTTCTTTCAAGACTTCAAGGAAAGCAAGAGAATCTGAGCTGTACTATAGATGCAAACTGATAGTTTTAACATTAAATTTTACTTCACATTTAATGTTGCATGTTGGTTACAGGTGAACTTAGTTTTGTATAAACATAAAGACATAAAAGGGTACTTTCTTGCTAGGCAACTTGCTGTTTTCTTATGACTTTAATCTAGGAGATTAACTATAAATTTATTACATGTGTGGACCAAGAGAAATTTCTTTTGGCCAAATAGAGTGCAAGACGTGAACAGTTAGTTACATTTCCCAAGTCTATTTTGTTATTCTTTTGCTGAAATATGGACTAGACTTTCCTGCAGTCTGATAGCTATATTTTTGCAATGCCACTTGCTTAGCCTACTATTATATCTGCAAGAAAAAAATCACAAATCATTTCCCCATATTAGTAATGTCCTTTACCTTAAGCAGCAGATATTTTATTTCATAGTAAGACAGAGATTCAGAATTAGAGTTTTTTCTCATTAAAAAAACCCCAATGATCATATAATAACTGTTTTAAAAGGAAACAGTTATTAGATTTTATGTCTTTTAAAATTCATGTTTATCTAACACCTAGTTACTATTTCAATGCACTTTCAGACAAAAATGTCATTTTTGCATTATCAGGCAAAAATGTATCGCTTACTTCACCAACTTTTTTTGCTCTGTATTCTAATTTATAGTGGGATTACTTACTCAACCTTGTAATAAACCCTTATAATAGCTACTAATTTTAGTTACATATTCGATTAAAGTATAATGATACCAATTTGAAGTAGAAATGTCATGTGCATGTTGCAAAGCAAATTATAAAACCCTAGCATGGCACTAGTCTATATCATTGAACAATGTATCTGAATTTCTATCTGGTTCAGGCTTCAATTTATATAGTGCATCTTTCTGCAAATTTATGATGCATGACAATCATATTTGAACAGAATCTTCCTGACTGAATTGCTATAAATGAACATTGTATGCTCTGTTGGCATTTCCTTTAGTAGGCTAAATGGAGTTGCAGTCACTTTATTAATGTCTCTTAGGAGGCAGGTGATTCATGAAAGATAGACTTTTGAAGAATGAATTAAATTTGGATTAAACTTAGTTTATAATAATTTTGATCCCTCCCCCCCCCCCCCAATTATGCTCATTAATTTCTGTGTGATCAGGAAGGCAATTTGTGCATAAAGGGTTATGAAATATTTGTATTCAAGAAAACAATTTTCTACCTCCTTGGGTTTCTAACATTCTCGTAGCAAATTGAATTTGTCGTGCATGTTCACTACTCCCAAATTAGAAAGAAAATTAGCCTTAATTCGGGCAAGTATGGTGCTACTACTTTGGATTTGCTTGTGGGTTACAAGAAATTGGTTCTCCTAACCCTTAAATTAAATTTTATTTCTGTTATTTTGGGTTGAAAAATTGTTAATTTTTTGTGTAGGAGTTTGGCCTGCATAGTTTGACCTTCCACCATTACTTTTATTCTGGGAGATGAACATTGTCTTATTTCCTCATAAAGAAACTCATCCTAGTTGTAAAATCTGGTGCCACTTGTCTTATGGCTTTTCCAATTGAATTGACTTAGCACTACCATGAAGCTTCTTCATGCAATGGAAAGGTTCTACATTGAGTATTTTCATGCAGTTAAAGAAAAGGACCAAAGGCAGTTGTGCAAAATATGGCCAGCAGATTGCATCCCCTAGTATTCCCCAATATATTTAAAATAAAAGTTTTTATCATTCTAATTTAGCAGGAAACCACTCTGTGTAGTACACTCTAGACTGAACCTGGAAGCTAAGTAAGGGTCATTTCTGTTTGGTACTTGGATGGGAGACCATCATAGTGCTGTAGGCAGGATCTGGAAAAATTACCTCTTGAGTGTTTCTTGACCGAGAAAACCTTATGAAATTAATGGATGCGTATAAGTTGACAGGCAACATGAAGGCATTTTTATATATAAATGTATGTAATAGATCTTCAGTTAACCGGCACCCATGGGGTGGATGCCAGATTAATGTAGTTTTTGTTGCTTGAGAGTCACTATTAAAAATAGACCTAACTAATACTATCTCATGCCATAAACTGTGTTGATATTAATGTTGAAATATAGTAATTAAAAGCAAATTAAGGCAAATAAAAACAAACCTAACTTAATATAATACAGTTTTTACTGTTTTACTATATTATAAAATATGATTTCTTCATTTAAAGCGTGATTTTCTTGAATATTTTGCTAGTTGCTTGAGATCTCTGCTTACTAGATTTATTAATTATAAGTGGAATTTTATTTTGAGTAGAAGAATTTTTTATTAATTATAACAGACTGCATTTTTGTAGTGATGATGGATGCAGGATCCCTGTAAAAAATGAAAAAACTATTCTTTTACCCTAAGAGAACATGTTTCTAGGTCTTCCAGGATTACCCAATGGTCGATGACTATAGAGTTGCCTTGGAGGATCTAGAAATTCCTATATATTAATCAAATCTGCAAATAATCAAATCCACAAAAGTTGAGTACCAAGTGTAATGTTTTCATTTCAAATGTACTTAAATTTATACATTTTAGTACCCCCCCCCCAAAAAAAAAAATTACCTTGAGCACTTGGCCACCTTACAATCTTTTTTGCTGTGGTGTACCCTTGCTTCAACAATATCTTTCAATTTCAAAAGTCTCAAACCATGACTATCTGATTTCCCGTGAATACTGTTTTTTTGTAGTTATCTCATGAAAAATTCACATCTGTTATTAATCACATTTTTTTCTTTCCTGATTATCAGTTCATAACACTATTCAAAACTAAATTTCTGGTGAAACTTTTGAAATGCTCTTTGAAATGTTGGCTAATATGAAGGAAACCTGAGTTATAAAAATATAGGGCACACTGTATAGCTGTTTTCCTGTCTCATCACTCTTGCTCTATATTGTACCTTGCAGTATATCATGTTTTACTGTAACTTCATTATATTGTTATATGTGTCACCATGCTACTGCTTTGAGAAGTCTTGATATACAGTATTTCTTATTTTTGCCCCATATTCAATTAGAATGTGGGGGTCTGTATAAATACAACCAAAGTTACCAGAAATAACAGTAAGTCATCTCATGTCACCTGTTGTGGTTTTGAAGTCTCTTTGACTTGAATGCAAGACTTTTTGTCAAATCCCATTTTAGGGGGAAGTTGAACAAATAGCAATGATGAAAGCAAAAGGACAGAATGAACACGATGAAGGCATGCTTGAATATTTAGAAGATATAATAGGATCAGGACGGTTAAAAGAGCCTATTCAAATACTGTGTCGAAGAGTTGAGATAATAAATGAACAGAGAGGTGAAAAGGTAAGACTTTGGTTATTAATACCTTATTTTTGTATAAAATTTTAAACATAATTATAAGCTTTTGGGCAATTCACAATTAGCTTCTGATGTACTATGGAATGCTGCTTATTACTTGCAGACTGAGGCAACCGGTATGAATGCTACAGAAATGTTGTTGGTTAAAAGTACTGTTGTTTCTCATTCTGATAGGTTGTGTTAGATAAAAACATACAAACTCATTCCCCTGAAATAATTTTTATAAACCAGTGTATAAAAAACAATAAAATAGTTACATAACCAATCCTGTTTTCAAGAACAGTTGGAAAATATGTGATCTTGGATACCTACCATAAGGATGGGGACAGTCTCACTTCCTTTGGGAGGCAGTTTATAATAATACACTTTATTTATATTTTGCCCTTCTCCTCTAGGGACTCAGAGCAGATTACAGCATTTACATGCATAGGCAAACATTCAATGCCTTTTACAGTCACATGAGACAAACACAAACAAAGGCAAGGCTTCTCCTTTCATTTCTGGCTTCTAGAGGCGGTGCTCATTTCTGGCTCTGGGAGGTGCTTTTCTCTATTTTCAAGCCAAGGAGCCAGCATTGTCACCTCCTGGTTATGTGGTTGGCAACATTGCTTGGAGCGTCTCTTTGGTTTTTCCCTCAGAAGTAGTACCTATTTACTTATATTTGCATATTTTCAAACTGCTAGGTTGGCAGAAACTAGGGCTGACAGATGGGAGCTCATCCTGTCTTGAGGATTCGAACTGTCAACCTTCAGGTCAGCAGTCCAGCAGTACAAGGGTTTAACCATTGCGCCACTGTGATCAACACTCCTGAGCAGTGAGCCAGGACAGTTAAAGTGGTGTCAAAACTGCATTCATTTAACAACATGGATGCACCTATAGAGAATTCTTAGATTGGCAATTCTACAGAATAAACTTAGCTGGCTAAGGACCTTAGTAGTCAGTTGTTAGGTAGAGATGGAAATAACAACCAAAAATATTGTTGCTCAAACAATATGTAGCAATGTTTGGATATTGAAGGATAATGGCACAGAATTCTTGCTGGCTTATGCTTCATTGTTGGCTTTCCTGTGCTCAGGTTCGGAGCATGTGTGCAACAGGGGAGACAGGTTCACATCGCAGACAGGTTTGGATGGAAGAGGTGGCCTTTCAGATATCCAGGCCCCTAACCATTTAGGGCTTTGTAAATGAAAATTAACATCCTGAGTTGAGCTTAGAAACTTGCCCTATCATTGCCTGTGTATTTATACAATGTATTTGTAATTAAAGCAATTCCAGCATTCATTAATATTCTATCTAGCTGAACAGAGTTAAAATGGTGGAAAAAGAAAAAGATGCCTTAGAAGGAGAACGGAACAAAGCACTTGAATTCCTGTCTTTGGAGAACAAAATGTTCAAAGAAAAGAATAAAATATGTCAATACTACATGTAAGTAATAGCAATAAGAATGTGCTTGGAGGTGCCCTGAATTGATAATGCAAAAATCCTGTGCATTAAAATGAATCAATTTTCCTCGAATTTGTTCACCATGCAATTTCTTACCTGCAGCATGGTGACATGGCTGGAGTAAGATTAGGGTTGCACTAAAAACTTTCAAAACTTAATAATGTCTTGTTATAAAATGTTTAGTGAAATTAGTAGAACATTTTTCATGTGCTTTTAATTTAAATAAAACAAATCTTTAATTTCTTTTTATTAGATTGTATAGTTATCTGTTTTTATATATATTATATTATAAGATGAAACTAACTTTTTATTTTTTTAGTCATGAATTACAGAAACAAATAACTGAACTGGAAACACAGAAGGCTAAAATACATGAAGAAACTAAAGAAGTTAATGAGAAAAGCAGCAAACTGGCAGATGAAATGAAAGATAAGAAATCAGCCCTAAAAGACGTGGAAAAGTAAACATTAGTTATGTTACTTGCATTATTTACAAGATATTAAATAGTGCTATATGTACACATTCTGCTGTTAGTGCTTAAATATTTTAAAGTTTAAACAAGTGAATTTTAACTACATTTTATTAGTATTGTGGTATTAATTTTTGTCCTGTGCATTTTAATATGTATACTTTAATTGTGTTGTGTTTTAATGGTGTTTTTAAACTATGGTACCCCTCAAGCAGAAGGGGGGGGGGTAACAAAAATATTATTATTATGTAATAAAAATATTGATGACTTTTCAGTTTTACTATATTATTTAAACTGATTGCAAATGTTATTTATGTGTTTCCTTCTATTAGAAAACTTAATAAAATCACAACATTTATAGAAGAAAACAAAAATAAGTTTACACAGCTGGATTTGGAAGATGTTCAAGTAAGGGAACAACTAAAGCATGCGAAGAGCAAGTCAAAAAAACTGGAAAAGCAGCTTGTGAAAGATAAAGAAAAGGTACGAATGTAGCATTTAGTATTATTACTTTTTCAGGAAACTTGGGCTGAGGAGTTTTGTCCTGTTAATTTGTTATTGTTCTTAGGCAGTATTGTTCTTAGGCAGCCTTTGGGTGCAACCCACCTCTTCTTACTAGGTAGCCTATGGCAGGCAGATTTTGCTGTGTAGTTGAAGATTTGTTTGAAAGTATTGAGTGAATCCTGTCGGTCCTTCTCGTTCATGGTTTTAATTTTTTGTGGATTTGATTTTTCTCTAAAATTTAAAAAGTTGATCCTAGTGTTACCCTAGGGCAGTCATGGGCAAACTTTAACCCTCCAGGTATTTTGGACTTCAGCTCCCAGAATTCTTAACAGCCTAGACAGTGTAGCTAGAGAGGTGTTCTTAAAATATCTTTTTGTACTTTGTTTTGCCTCAAGGCAGATCATGCAAAAGTAAAATTACTTTAAAAACGCTTTAAAAATGCATCATAATCAAACAACTTTACATGGGTTCATTTTGCTTCTATACAGATCAAATTGTGTATTTTGAAAACAGCAGCATTCTGAAATTATTGCCTTCATGGCATATATTTTGGGCCCTTGACTGGGGAAAGGCAGGGCGTACATTTCATAAATGTACGCCCTGCCTTTCCCCAGTCAAGGGCCCAAAATATATGCCATGAAGGCAATAATACAATTTCATTGTATTATTGATAGTTATGTTGATATTCTGTTGTGATATTGCCTTATTGTAAACTGTTTTTATATGTTGTACACCGCCGTGAGTCGCCCTAGGGCTGAGAACGGCGGTCAACAAATGCAGTAAATAAATAAATAAATAAATAAATAAAATATTTTTAAGCTCAGGTAGCCATTAGCTCTCAATAAACTGGGACTGATATGCATAAATTCAAGTCTTCTTTCAAAGACTGAGTTGTTTGGCTATTGCCAAAATTGATGGATGTAGTGTTTTGCATGCTAGTTATCCTGAATAAGAAATGTGTTAGGGCATTTTTGCGTGTGTCAGGAGCGACTTGAGAAACTTCAAGTCCCTTCTGGTGTGAGAGAATTGGCCATCTGCAAGAACGTTGCCCATGGGACGCCTGGATTTTTGATGTTTTACCATACTTGTGGGAGGCTTCTCTCATGTCCCTACATGGGGAGCTGGACGTGCTAGAGGGAGCTCAACCCTCTCTCCCCGGATTCGAACCTCCGATCTGTCGGTCTTCAATCCTGCTGGCACAAGGGCTTAATCCATTGCGCCAACGGGGGCCTCCGGTTATGGGCATATATGACAAAGAAGTACAGCCAAAACACAAGTCTCGCTCCTTGTGAACCTTACTGTAAGAGTACACATTGTCACATCGACTTTCGCGTTGACTGTACTATCAGTCTTTATAGTAAGTCATTTTTCTTCTCTGTGATCTCTGTGAAATGCGCACATATGGTAGTTGATGCACCTGTGCAGCAACTACCATATGTGGGAATTTCACAGATAACCACTAGAAGAAACATGGTTACAGGTAAGTAACCATCATGTCTTTAGCTCCATTGAATATTAGCTTCTTAATCTGTTCTTTAAAAACTATGAACAGCTGTTCTAATCTGTACATATTCCAACAGCTATCTGGACATTAACTTCACATAATTCTTTTATAAAAGTAATAGTGTTCATATTGGGTGAATGGTTCTGTTATTAGAAGAATTCAAAAATTACCATTACCCTTTTCATAGGTTGAAGACTTGAGAAGTGTTCCAGCTAATAGTGAGTCTACCATCAAAGAAGCAACAACAAACAGAGAAGTTCTAGAAAAAGAAAAGGAAAAAGTAGAAGAAAAACTCAAAAAAGTTATGGATAGCCTTAAACAAGAAACCCAAGGATTGCAGCAAGATAAAGAGGTTTGCATTGATAATGACCATGTATTAATCCATTTCTCCCAAAATGAGCTCTGTTTAGCTTTCCTTTATAAGAGTAAAGTAGAAATTTAAAGGCCTACCATAGTACAGTACATTTTCTGGAAGTAAATTATTACATTATGGTAGCTCTGTTTTTGGCTCTGTTCTGACTTTTTGGCATTCTTAAGACTAAAGACTGAGCCATTAGTACAGTGGCTGTGGTGTAACACCTTTAGTACAGTGGCTGTGGTGTAACAGCCCCTTGTTAATACAGCTGCAGTGTATTTATACTAGAAGCAGTGTTTGAAAAGCAACTTTCAGACAAGGCTTTATCTGGTTACCTATGTCTGAAATAAACTACTACCTTACAAGATACTGGACTCTGTTGGATTGTGAATCTGCCCACTGACGGTTCAGCAACAAACATAACACTGGCTTTTCTTAATAAGGCAGTACTACAATTCTAGGGTACTGTATTTTAGCATACAACATTGCTCTTTCTATTGAATTACACAGCCCCAACAAAAAAAAACTTGGTGTCTTGGTTTTTAGAAGTGTTCCTGGGGTTATTTGAAATGCTGATTCAGAAAATTGGATTTGATAGACCACATCAGCTCTAGTCTCTTTAGATATGGTTATTATGATTCTTTATGGGTGAACAGATGGCTGCTGGTGGATGGCATATCCTGTGTATCTCAAAAACCTGAACTGATGGAGGAAAATGTGCCATTTTTGGAATCAGCAGGTCAAACAAATCCAGAAACAGATCTAACATTTCAGACACCAAAATGTGAATTGGCCAGTTTTATGACCCAGTATATGTATAAGCTTGTTTTCCCCACTGCCATTATGCCAAAAACTGGCATGGTATTTATGACCACTCAGTACACTTGTTTCTTTCTTGAAAACTTTTGCCAGGAACTAGAAATTAGTTGCTTAGGGAGTAGCACTGATCCAGAAACCATGATTTTGAATAGTGCTGCTTTCATTGTAGTTTCATATACTATAACAGCAGAATTGAGACTATGTTCCCGTTCCACTGCAGCTCAATATGGCATCTGCTGTCCTTAATTCCATAAATCAGGTTACTCAGGGGAATGAAAGCAAAAAGCTAGCTCTAAGTGGCCATTTTAGAAATTATACTCATGCTCTTGCACATATTGCGACAGCCATTTTGAATCATAGGCAGAAGTCAGCCATTTTGATCAAGCTTTTCCAATCGTTTTCTCATTTCCTTTGCCATTTTCCAATCAGGATTCATGGCTGAAACAACTTTTCTGAACTTCAAGGATTGACTCAATTGCCCACCCCCACCCCACCCCCAGCCTCCATATCCAAAAGAGATATGGATAACTCTTGCCCCATCTACATCACATGCTTTTCCTGCCTCTCTAGTTCCTTTCACAGAATTTGGCAGAGTTAGCTCTTACAGACAAGTTCAGAAACAGAGGTAATTCATTCCTTTGAAGATCGTGAAGAGGAGTCACAATCTTCACTCAACTTCTCTCACTGATTTTTCTGACTCTGAAGTGTGAAAATTGTCAGTTTCTGGAATGGAAAAAGAGATTTTCATAAAAAAAATAGTTGTATTCCTCCTTTATTAAAAATTACAGCAGAATCCCAGCCTGATAGATAGATAGATACGTTTTATTGATTGGCCTATTGGCCGTATCAAAACATTTAACACATAACACAATTAACACATAGTCATACATACAACATACAACCCTCGGTATAAAAGGAGTTAAAATGAACAAGCTGTTAACAAGATCTCGTTCAGGTCAAATGTCTGCGTCACCTCCACAGTTTACCCCAATTGATTCTAAATGTGCAATTCTCAGCTGTGTTGCTTTGAATAGAAAAAGGGCTGTTTTGTGTGTTATTTTAGGGTTCTGGCCGGCCAACAAAAATGAGGTTTTAATATATGGGTCCCAGTGTGTTTTTTGAATAATGTATGGTCCAAGGTCCAGAATCCCAGCCTGATTTTTCCACACCTCTAACTCCTGAATCTTCCAGCGGAGAGACAGCCATGATTCCAAGAATCAACTTCTCCTCATGAATGTCTCTTTTTCCTTTTCCACTGAATTCAATTATATAGTTAAATAAGAATGGGAAAATCCATTATTATTATTATTATAAATCCATTCATATTATAAATTAAGATAATAATATTATAATAACCCCATATAAAGCAGGAAGGGAATTGATGTAGTACAAAGCTATATACGCTTCCTCCAGAAGCTATGAATCTTGTTAATCCCAGTCTCATCAATGGCCAATTTCAGCACTTCTGACCAATACACTGCTGCCTTAGGAAGGACATCTGATCCTTAGGCTCTGGTGGCATACACTTCTCTCAAACATTCTCATGAGGTCTCTGCCCTATTCTGGCATCTTCCACAGCATCACTTATTGTCATGACAATCATACTGTGGATCCAGGATATATTTGAAAAGCAGAGCCTTGATTGTGCAAGACCAAATCATCCAGGGTAGCACTGGTGGCACACTTTGGATGTAAGGTCTTTTTGAAGAGAATTTCTGATTTCAGACATTCACGAGCTTTGTTTTCTACATACCTAGAAATTTGAGACAAATACCATTGAAGATAGTTATTGATAGGTGGATGAGGACATGCATTTTTCAGTGTTATGACCACAAACCAAGACCTAGCAATATGTGACCCCATTCCACAAAGTCTGTGGCTACAAGTATAGCTTATGCTACTTCGATATTTCTGAACAACAAAAACAATTTATTAGGATTCATAGACCCATCAGTAAAACCAACAATCATAATTTATCCCATCTCAGGAGAAATACATTCCTGGAATATATATATGTGATGATTCAGGATGGTTTGAACCATCAACTTTTATTATGTGCTAGCTTAGGTACCCAGTGATTATTAGGTTAAGATTTTTGTAAGTATAAATATTAAAAATAGTAATTGTTTGTTTTTTAATTTTATGTATGGTCCTATTTGAAAATGCACAAGGATGTGGGTAAACTGCAACTCCCATCATCGCCTGATCAACTTGCCCCCAAGTTGATCATAATAGATATGTGTGCCACGCTTGGTCCAGATCAGTGGGGTTCACAGAGTTCTTTGAATGTAGATGAACTACAACTCTCCAACATTCTAGGTCAATTCCCTCAAACCCCGCCAGTATTTAAAATTGGTCATGTTGAGTATGTATGCCAAATTTGGTCCAGATTCAGTTGGATTCCGAGGGCTCTTTGGTTGTGGGTGAACTACATCTCCTAACATCCAGAGTCAGTTTCCCTCAAACCCCTCCGGTGCTTTCTGTTAGTAATGTTGGGTATATGTGCCAAGTTTGGTCCACAGCCAGAGAGCCACAGGGCTCTCCAGATGTGAGAGCCATCTTGAAAAATACAAACAATCATAGGCAGATGCATACATACACATATATTTTGACTTTTGTTTATATAGATCATGAATTAGATCAATATGCAGGTGGCATTCAGCAAAACTTGTGTTGAAATCACTAATTTATACTTAATGTGCTCATCCGAAAATGACTCAGTCTCAATAATAGTGGATTACTGCTTCATGGCTTCCCAAGACTGGGCTTGATTCAAATATTCATATTGGGATGGGAGGAGGAACAATCAACATGCTCCCTTAAATTAAAAAAGAAAGAAAGAACTAGGGTTCGGTAAGAGAAGAAGATCTTGCATAGGTAGAACTAGATAATCAAACTGTCAGGGAAGGGGCCTAACTGAAAAAGAACATGGGCTCCTGTTTTATCCAGTTGGCATGTGGGGATAAATCCAATCATAGTGGATTGTTCTAACAATTAGAAAATGAACATTCATGGTAAGTTCAGTCTCATTTTATTAACCCCTCCTGAAAGTTTTTTCAGGAGTACCAATAGCTGCAAAAAAACAAAACAAAAAAAAAACCTCTTCTGGGAAGAAAGAGTCAAAGGGTCCCCATTTCAACAATTCTCAAGGACTAAGATGGTGTGATTATTGGTGAGAAGAGCTTTAGAAATAAATTGCAATTCTAATCTATTATTTAGGTGGAATGAAATATATTCTCATAAAGAAGAACTGGAAGAATTTAACTCTTAATTTATATGGGGGGAAAATATTTCGTAACACATTTCTTTAAAATCTTTCCCCTCATTTTTCTAGAACAAAGAAAAAGAACTCATGGAATTTAGCAAAACAGTTAATGAAGCACGTTCAGATTTCGATGTGGCAAAATCTGAACTTGATATTTATCTTAGTCGTCATAATATTGCAGTATCTCAGTTGGAAACTGCGAAAGGAGCTCTACAAACTGCTTCAGGAACACTTAAGGAAAGGACAGCTGCTATCAAAGAATTGGAGTCAAAATTACCTCAAGCTGAACATGATCTAAAGAAGGTTAGATTTTATGTCTTTGTTTCTTAAACATGTAATTTTGTAAGTGCTAATGGGCTCTCAGAATCATGAGTATCAGAAAGGCAAGGTCAATAGTAAAACCAATAGTAAAATAATATTTGTAACACTGTATATCTTAATGCTTGTAAAACAGTAAGAAATGAAGACATATGTAGGAAGATTTCTCATTGTTTTTAAGAATGTTTCTGACACTATGTTTCAAAGCATTTCTGTATTGAATTGTAAGATTAGGTTACTAGAAGATGATAATGTGTATTATCATCATTGAAATAATCAAACTACAGCTGGAATCCTATTGGGAATTTACGACACTAAATTAGTTTAAAATTCCACAGTTTATGAATTATTTATTTATTTATTTATTTCACTTACTTATACCCCGCCCTTCTCACCCCGGGGGGGACTCAGGGCGGCCATTACAGAATGGTCCTTTCAGGAGAGGAATATTGTCATAGCTGCACCGTCAGGATTATTGCACAAGTGAATTGACCGGCATGGCCGTTGAGTAACAGTGTGGCATTCTGTCAAACGGACTATCCTTGCACAGTGATAGTACAAGGAGATGGCGAAACAGCTACAGGGCATTGGTTAATTGAATAAAGGGCACATGGATGCCCTGTGTCTCACTGTAAAAATGCCCTTACCTTTTGTGATGATCTGTTGAACAGCGGCATCCTCCATTGTGCAGTGCTCCATTGGACATTGTTACATATCTTTAGCATTTTTGTAAATCATGTCACTGGTATAGCTCTATTATCATAGTTATGTATCGTGGTCAATTAAGCAGAATATTGCCAATATCCTAAGTGATAGGATTGCCACTTTTGAAAAGTTAAGGAAATTGGATAACATTCAGAAATTGATGGGTGTAGTGGATTTTTGAGTACAATATTTGTGTCAGTGTGAATAGAGAAGTAGCAGTACGTAAGTGTACTGTCGTGATGCAGATATATTCTATTGTATCAACATACGTATGTTTTAGAAAATTTTCAAATTTTATTAACATCCGTAAAATGAATCTGATGGAGAAATCTATCAGCTTCTTAAAACCAGGTAATTTGTATGTTCAAACAAATTTGAATTGGTTTCAATTTCTATAAAGACAGTAATATTTGCACACTACTAGGCTGATTTTTGTCACCTGGGAGCTAGTTATTCCTTCTTGCCAGCTGTAAAATCCAATTCTAACATACGAGTCACCCTCTATTACAGTATAATTTAACTCAAAACAAAGTACAGATTCATATCGCAATAAAGAGACAAAGTAACTTCTGAAAATTCAAAAAACATGTTTAGAATGACATGCAGAGCTCTACCTGTTAGCACAGTTTGGCATGACTGCCTATGTAATCACAGTTTAAATTATATGGCTGGTTTTTTAAAAATACATTATAATCTCAGACACTTGGTTTGTAATCAGAGAGATAAATGAAATACAATTTGATCTAATCACACGTTAAATTAGACTCCAGTCAATTTAGGTCACTGGAAAAGAATCTAATTTAGAATTTTCCCAAATAAATCTTATCACTGAACATAATAAGAAATACATTCTGTGGTGGCACTGGTGCAAGCTTTGCTTCAAAGAAATAGTGTGTCATATTCTTCCCTAAATGATTTTTCTGTCATTACAGAGAGCTGTAGAACAAAATATAAATAACATTCTAATAATTTCATCTACAGAGATTGAGCTAAGGTGTTTTCCTTGTAGAAGTCCCACTGTCATTCATTGTCATTATTGCAGTATCTTGAATGGATTGCGCCATCATTCCCAATGAGGAATTTTGTGTTAGAAAATACCAGTGCATTCTAGCCTTTCTCCAGTTTATTTTGCTAAAGATAAATGTTGCTAGAATTATTTGCATTTAAGCACATTCACTATTTCAACTAATGTAACAATGAGTAATTCTAAAACAGATTTTATTAATTCCTGTGGAGTAGTAAATAGAATGAAGTTTGGTTCCCTGTTTTTAAGAAAGAGAATGAACTTGAAAAACTTGTGAAAGAAGAAGCAAATATAAAAACTTTGGTTCAAGATCTGCGTCAAAAAGTGGAAGAAGCCAGAAGCTCATTGGCAGTAAATAAAAGTCGAGGGAAAGTTCTTGAAGCTTTAATGCAGCAGAAGAAATCTGGAAACATTCCTGGAATATATGGAAGACTGGTAAGGTGTTTTTTTTTTTTCCTTGCCATATTTTAGGTTTCCTTCCTCTCCTTCTGGGTAGGCATTTGGAGAATTGTGGCTGACAAAATAATTTGGCAACACGAACTGGTGTTTCTGGGTCATATACTATTCCCATATTTTGGGATGAAGACTATCTGATCCCTCTTGCAGATTTAAAGATTTTTTCTAAATGAAAGAAGATATAATGTAAAAAATCAGTGCATCTTCTGAATAGAAATTAAATAGAAATAGAATAGAAAGTTTTGGAGAAAAAAGAACATAAAGACAAAACTCCTTAAATTTTGTTATAAAGTAAATCTCTTCAAAATGAGACTTCAGTCCTTAACTTTTAGGAATCTTAACTGTGGGCCATGTTATTTTGAGCTTTCTTCCCCATATCATACACATTCTCTGTTCTTAGTGTTTTATCCTACAGATTCCTGGATGTAATTCAGTCAGTCCTAAATACATTCACTGCTAAGGGGGAGGGGGCAGCTGTTGAACTGGTGACAAAGCAGGATATGGCACTTTTCATATCTATTGTAGAGCAAACTATTCCTAAAACTCTAGGTTAAATTGTAGCTAGCCCTGCTTAAAGACTGTGGCCACTGTCTCTGCTATTCTTATTTTTACATGGGTATTCTGAAAGGTAGAATGACTGCATTTCTTTAAATGAAAATACTTACCATATATACTTAGTTGTGTAAGTTGCCCTGAAGTATAAATGAGGGAGAGATTTTGAGATTGAGGTTTCAACTTTGGTGCTGCTGAGGAATTTTTTTGAAGGGGCTGCTCCAATTTGGCTGTGCTCCTCCCCCTAGTTCTCTACACCTGCCAGTTTGTCTCCTCTTTCTCCGCAATTTCTCTTGAGGAGTCAAGCAGGATGGCTGCAGGAGGGGCATCAATCTGAATAGAGAGTGATGAAACACCAGTCGCACTGAGAAATATTTAGCTGAAGGGGTTGCTGGTTTCTTGTCTTTTGCCTGCCCTCCCTTGTCACAGCAGGCCTGGTTGATTTCTCAGAGTGGTTGGGAAGGAAGAAGGAACAAGTGGGTGGCTGTGGGCAGTTGAGGGCAGGTGTGTGTGCGCGTGAAGTGGAGTTGGAGCGTGCAGGCAAACTTTTAGAAATCAACCTCTTGAACCAAATGTTCTGTGGTATTCCTGGTGTCTCTTTGCACACCACTGAGACAGAATCCCTTTCCGTCGTCTTCAGCTTCCGTTCTCCATTCGTAGCCTGCCTTCTTCAGCTTCCATTCTCCATTCGCAGCCTGTCTGCTCACCTTCTCAGAGAAGGAGAAGGGAGGAGACAAGCAACGTGACTGCATACAACTGTTGGTGCAGCAAAGAGTCCATCAGAGGGACCCTACCATAAAAGAAGTACTGACTCCCTCAGCTCTTCCAGCTAGAAAAGGTTAATGTCACAAAAAGCTGCAGCCATTTTCCTGCCCAGAAATTCAGACAGGCCAGAAATGGTGGTGGAGCACATAGAGTTACCATTTTGACCATGTATAAGTCAACATCTGTTTTTGGGATATTTTTAAAAATGCACAAGTATATAGGGTACTTGAATGTGAATTCCTATAAAATCAGTGGGACTTGGGAAGAAGTAAACAAACAAAATCATACTCATGTCTATTGTTACCTAATCCATTAAATTCTCTCCTTTTTTTTTACCAATAGGGTGATTTAGGTGCAATAGATGAAAAGTATGATGTTGCAATTTCCTCATCATGTTGGGCACTCGACCACATAGTTGTTGATACAATTGATACCGCTCAAGAATGTGTTAATTTCTTAAAGAAGCAAAACATTGGAGTGGCAACTTTTATAGGCCTTGACAAGGTTTGTATCAGTTTCAATGAAAAAGAATTGATAGGTACTTTTACACTGATGAAATGGAAGAACTAAAAAAATCTGCCTAGAATAAATTTTCCTTGGGTTTTATTCATTTTCAGTTCTGTTGTGCACTTCACAGTTATTTCATTTAACTTAGTAGTATGTGATGTACATTATATTCTTTTGTATGTAGTAAATGTTCATAGATTCCAAAATGGCATCAGGCCTGTTGCAGTACCTTTAATTTCCAAGTTTATTACGATTTATGATTACATATGCTAAAGTTTCTTAGCTATTGTAATAAGACTGGTCTTATTATACTCTGTTTAAATAGTCTCACTAGGATATGTTTATGGTTGATTGTAAGTGTTAAGACTTCTCAGTTTTTACTTCAAAGGCAAGTTTATGTGGTCAAAGCACAGCCATAATGACTGTCATTGTTTTAACTGAATGGAGAAGAGTGTAGACAGCCATCCTGAGAACATTAAATGAGAGACAAAATCCCACTGGATACAGTGAAATTTCCTTTTGAGGAAAGCTGCTTTGACTTGTACTATTTAAAAAGTACAATCAAAATGCAAAAAAAAATGTCCTCAGAAGTGTAATATGTTTATCAGATGACTGTGATTATTCTTGATTTTTCATGCTGCTACTTTTGTGAGACTTTTTATCCTCTTCCAGATGGCAGTGTGGGAGAAAAGCATGGGCAAAATTCAGACTCCTGAAAATACTCCACGCCTGTTTGACATGATAAAAGTTAAAGATGAGAAGATTCGCCAAGCTTTTTATTTTGCGGTCCGGGATACTTTGGTAGCAGATAACCTGGATCAAGCTACCAGAGTTGCATTCCAGAAAGACAAGAGATGGAGAGTAGTAACCCTGCAAGGACAAATAATAGAACAGTCGGGTATGTCAAAGCTGCCTAATGGCACTTACAAACAGAAGTTGACTGTGATATTGGTAGCAGTAATATTTTATTTCGTTTTGTTTTGGTTCTTCCATAGGGACAATGACTGGTGGTGGTGGAAAACCAATGAAGGGTAGAATGGGATCCTCAGTTGTAGTTGAAACATCAGAAGATCAGGTTAGTATACTCAAGAAAGTTTTGGTTGAAAGATGGCTGCCATATTCTTCAAATTCATTTATTGATCATTTGAATTCTCAATTTTTTCCCCCAGAAATAAGCTGAACAAAGCTAGTAGAAAATATTGTGATATCATAATACTTTAAGGTATTCAGTGCACTCTTATCAATAAGAGAAACAGTTGAGTTAATGGAGTTCAATGTTTGGGGTTTAGCAGGCTCATATTCTGTCAGTTGTCTTGTGTTCCTCAGTATCTATAGAATAAAGTTGGCTTCATGCTGCATTTGGTCATAGTGATAACTTATGGTATATTGATGAATGGAAACCTAGGTGAATTTTAGCCTAGCATTTAATTCATCTCCCAGCATAGCCTTTCATAACTTACTTTGACAAGGTAGCTATCTCGGTAATACGAACCCATTGTACTAAAAGATGCAATGTCCTTATTTTTCACTACTCTATGTAAGACAGTGGTGAATTATGAAATAATTTCTAAATTGATGAGAGCTCCCCCATCCCCAAACTTCCAGAAATAAATTAAGTAGAGTGGCTAATACTACAATTGTTTACCCTTAACCTGATCCTACCTAATGAACACTGCATTTGAAATTAAAATTCTGTTATCTATGCCTTTTTTAGTTTGTTGTACTGAATCTCCATTTCCTGCTTCTTGGTCAGCCCACAATTCCCAGACAAATGAACTTTTTCTTCATGGTATCTGCCTCATGTAAATAGGAACAAAGCCATCGTCTAAATATACCAGAAGTATCTTGGCAGTAACCCGTACCTCTCTCTATGCCATGTTCCTGTCTGGATCCACCAATCAACTGTTACTTCTTTCTTTTTGTCTGCCAGAGAGTTCACATCTTTCAGGGTGTTCTCTGGCTGGGCACTATGAACTTGCCTTTTTTTTTTTTTTTTGGTCGTGTCAGGAGTGACTTCTGGTGTGAGAGAATTGGCCGTCTGCAAGGACGTTGCCCAGGGGACACCTGGATGATTTGATGTTTTTATCATCCTTTGTGGGAGGCTTCTCTCATGTCCCCGCATGAGGAGCTGGAGCTGATAGAGGGAGCTCATCCGCCTCTTCCCGGATTTGAACCTGCGACCTGTTGGTCTTCAGTCCTGCTGGCACAGGGGTTTAACCCACTGCGCCACTGGGGGCTCCATATGAACTTGCCTGCATTTCTTTTGCAAATAACCCTCTTGTGTCATTATGTCTCCCTATTATTTCTATTTTTAAAAAATCTGTGTTCTTTCTCTATTTTATGGCCTCTTCTTCTTTATTTAAAACCTGTGTTTTTAAACAAGCCTTTTCTTCCCTATTTAATGACTCTTGGTGAGCGTTAAATGATGATGCAGGTGCAAAGTATCGTTTTGTGATGCTTATAAACAGTATTTATTTTCTTTGGGCAAATGACATATTTTAATTTGTTTTAATTTGCCAAAACTTCACATACCAGGCTCTAAAGAATAGAGCACAGAGACTGATTATACAGTTGGGAGGAGTAACTGACAATGCATCAAGAAAACAACCTCATTTTTCTGCTTCTTGTTGGGGGAAGCAACCTTCTCAAGCCTCCTCTATATGATGTTTGTCTGTTTTGTACTATGTCTGTTATAACCTGAAGTATATATCTTATTCGATTTGCAGTTTCCTTGTCTCTATATACCTAAAGCAGTGGGAGGGGCTGCAAGTCACGTGACTGACTCAGTGACAGTTTAGAATGTTCAGGTTTAAACAGGATGACAGGAAATGTCAGTTGAGGAATGACTGTTAGAGAAGTGTTGTTGAGCCTTGAATATGCTTGAGTGTAGAAGTCTCAAGAGTGCAGAAGCTAGAAGTTAGAAACTGTTAAGGTATGTGTTTTAATTGAAAGTAAACTCTTATTAAAAAGAGCTGCATAAAGAAACATAGTTTATGAAGAAACTTAAGGATTATAAGTTCAAGATACAAACTCACTGAAACGTTACTGAAGTTTTTAAACCTTTACAGTAAATGTGCCTGTATCTGAAGCTATCGGTAAACAAAACTTGCTATCTTTAAAATGAAATCTATGTTCGTCATGCTGAAAAACATACAGAAACAAAATATCCACATACCCAGCGATAATCCATTACCAAATAAACTCTGCTACCCTGATTAGGTTGTGATCCTAACAGTTCATGATTTATACCCCGATGGTCACGATCCATTATCCCCAGTACTTCTGTCTTAAGCATTAAGCCCAAAGAAATAGGTTGCTCAAGGGAAGACCTCAGGATCAATATCTTTGTTTATAGATAAATCAGTCTTCAATACTGGCACAAATTAGATCATTGGTGCCAACATCATTTTCAAGGGCATCTCTTCCTACCACTTCAGCAGAAGAAGACAGTTCTTCCTCACATGCTGCAAACATTACAGTAGCACATTATTTGAAAGCCGTGTCCTATTTTGAAATACCAAGTATGAGCCTCAAAATTAGCACAGATAATTTGGGACATAGCCCTACCTCTCCAGAGAGTATCGAAGCAGGTCTCTTGTCATGTTTCAGATCAAGAAGAAAATCTCCCTCATGTAACCGATTTCTTGGATGGTACTTAACATCACTATTGAGAAGAAATATATCAGCATTGATGTTAAGTACAAACTTGCCATCTCCACCATAAAGGACAAGGTTGCATTCATCCCCAAGATTGTATCTCAATTTTGTATTAATCAAGATATACTATTAACTAGCTGTTATCAGGAACCATCTGCTCTATTGGATAAATCATTTAGTGTTTAATGTGCTTTTACCTACTATGTGAACTTCACATCAACCTTTCAATCAAAAAATTGTTTGTCCGCCATGATGGCCTTAGATGTGGGAGTAGATGTCTCTCCAAATGAGTTGTTGAAACCATCAGACTTAATTATGAACTGGCCAGGAGTCCAATACCAATTGGATTTTGTACAGTTTGAATCAGCCTTCATCTACTACTTTGCTTAGAAGTGTTGTCACAATTTCTGTAAAACAGCAACCTAACTGCAGTCATCTACCTTACAGATTGAATGTAGAAGCCAGAGATTATCACTTTGGTGACACAAACTTGCCGGACTGATCTCACATAGAGGTCCCTTGGGCCAAATGGCGGTTTATGAAACAAAGTAATGGTTGATTGGTGAACTAAGATAGGAGCATTGGATAGGGAAGGGGTGGGATTACTGCCAGCTACTCAGCTCTAGAATATTCTGGGTGATGGCTCTGTATAGGTGCAAAATTTATTTGTGTGAGGACACAGGTGACCACTTAAAAAGCCCAGTTACAGATAAGCAACCCGTTTTTACATTTCTTATTTTCTACTTATTTTACTGCTGGCAAACTTACATATTGTTCATATGTCTTTTGTGACTAAACTATTTTTATCAATAAAATATGAACTCAGCCATTACATGTATGTTACTAATGGTTTTACATTATAACTTTGTGTAGGTAAATGAAATGGAATCTCAGCTTCAAAAGAACTCCCAAAAAGCAAAACAATATCAGGAATGTAAAGTGCAGCTGGAGGAAGAGATATTAAAATTGTGTCAGAGTGTCAGAGAAATGAGGAACACTTTAGAAAAGTACAGTGCAAGTATTCAGGTAATACTAATACTGATCTTCATGTGGAAATCCTCAAACATGTGTGTAGTAGCAATGGCACAACCCATTCATTAAAACACACATGGGGAATCCAAAATTATACATTAAAAATAGGAGGAAAAACCTAATAGGCCTTCTCCCTACAAAGCCCAGTGACCACTGTGCCTGCTCACTAGTTATAGATTTCTGTCTAAAAGTTGCCAGAGTGGGAGTTGGAAGAATTCATTGGATGCTGCAAAGGAGCAATCCACAGTCACATGGGTTATTTTCTCCTCATTGTGACATCGGAGACAGGAGCCCTAATTTCGTTCTTTTAGCCAGTTATTTCTGTCATCTTTTCATTTTTAAAAAAATCTTGCCTTGCAAGAGGTAAGTTTTAGCATTTCCCCCTTCACTTCCAAAATCTCTTATTTCTCTTTTTAATTTGTCTTTATTTAGATCTTCTTTTCTTATAATAATATATAATACATTAGCATATGACATAGTAGTTTTTGCATTGGACTACAACTCAAAAATCCTAAAAACTGCATCCCTCCCTGTCACATGGTAGGAAAGGTGCAGTATGTTGAGGATTATTCCCAGAAGATACATAAAATTATTATTCCCTTAGTTATTCTTCCTTTGATCTTCTGTCAAATGGTCAGGGGGGAGTATATGTATGTTGCAGTTTGAAAGTGCTCCACCTTCATGACCCAAGACCTAACTGGGCATTTAACTGTTTTCATTTGTATATACTTCTTGATGGAAAATATTTCAGCACAGAGCTATGCGTTTGTAATTTTATGTGGAAGCATGGGCAACTGGAAAGCACTTCTATGAAGGAAGTGCTTTCCAGTTGCTCATGCTTACTAGAAGTTGCAGGTGGGAAGCAGACTTAAGAAGTGTACTGCTAGATGTAATCTAATAAGTATCATGGTTATTTCTTAGAAACCCTAATACATTGTGCAGAAAAGTAACAAGCCTGTTTTTACACTTTAGAGTTTGTCAGAGCAAGAAGCTCACTTAAAAATTCAAGTTAAAGAATTTGAAGGGAATGTAATTGCTGCAGCTCCAGATAAAATCAAGCAAAAAGACATGGAGAAAAAGTGTAATAAGTTCAAAGAAGGTGTGTATATCTTACGTTGAAATACGAATGAGTACAAATTCATAATTTCTGATTTACATAATCATGAAGCTCACTATCTTATAATATGATAAATATGTTTAAAATAAAAAGTGAGTTTTGATGGTTTTATGGATCCTTTAATATTTCAAAAATAAATGGTATGCTATTTTGCTAAAAATATTCACTATTTTCATCATATGTCTTTGTTTCATAGAGTATGATCGGGTTGCTGCAAAGGCTGATAAACTGGAAACAGAAGTTAAAAGACTACATAATCTCATAGTTGAAATTAACAATAAAAAACTTAAAACTCAGCAAGATAATCTTGATAAAATAAATAAGGAAATAGATCAGTGTACTTCTGCTATTACCAAAGCTCAGGTGGCCATCAAGACAGCAGACAGGTATGATTTTGTGTCCTTTGTGTGCCAATATAGAAATGTAAGTATGACTTTATAGATGTATTTCGGTTTTTAACAAAAGAAATTACTGGATTTGGTAAAGGATTTACAACATGATTATTGCTTCTCAGTATTTTCTAAAGAGGCTACATTCTAAACATTTTCTGTGCATGGATTGTCACCTATGGTTAGGGTTTTAGGAAATGTATGAACTTGTATATAGTCGCATGTACAGTAGGATAGAGCATAGTGAGCTGGGAGTAAAAGCCAGGGAAAGGATAGGGAACACTAAGAAAATGTTAAATATGTGGGGAAATATAGATCTGTAATATTGCTTGCTGGGAAATACACAGATTTTGAAATGCTTTCTGTGTAAAAGTGAGATTATTATTTGTGTATTGGGGGGAGGGGGTCTAAAATGAATATTCACGATTATTTTGGATTGCCAAAATGTATGCTGGTCGCTCTTGTAAAAATGCAAGTGTGTTATGTGTGTGATGTGTCTATACTGCTACTATTGTTTCATTCAAAATTGACTTCCAAAGCTGTTTACAATTCATTTCTATGCATTACGATTGGGAATATGTTTGTAGGACGGAAGTCTCTTTGCTTTAGAGAGAAGGGGCAGATGGAGCTGCAGATGGACTCGGAAGGAATGGTAGCTGCTAAAGGTGCCAAGCCACAGAAGCAGGGTGACCAGCATGTGACCATGAAACAGCATGGAAATTGTTGGCACCAATCTTATATTTCTTTAGAGAGCTGATTATTTTCAAATTCTTAAATATAACTAAAGAAGAAGCGTTACATCTGCTTTATTATATGGACTCTATTCAGAAACTTGAAAAAATCAGAGGATGCCGTGCTTCGCACTGAGAAAGAAATTGAAGAGAATAAAAAGAACTTACAAGAATTAATGGAACAGCTGACTGCACTGGAAGAAAGAGCTGATGTAGTTATGAATGACAGCAAAAAAGCTGAAGTATGTATGAGATTGGCTTATATTCTTCAGATGGAATGTGACTTTAAAAATCAATGCAGTATATAAATATTAAATGTGTTTGTATTATGTAAAATGTGTAATGCTTCACTACAAATAATGATTCCTATGCTGGGTCTCCGGCACTAGCAAAAGTGGTGTTTGAGAGAAGACTCAAATATAGTGTACTCCACTGAAGATACTTTCTGTTAAAACTGTTGCTGCTGCCCAGATAGACAAATTTCCTTCGGTCTTCTATAGCCTTTAAATATTAACACTTTAAGCCATACTGAAGATTGCTATTCTTCCTTTTGCAATCATATTAACATCGGCATGTTCTACTGCCATCCTATTAAAATTCCATGTCTGATATAATATCTGTCTATAAGCAGTGTTTCTCAACCTAGGGGTCTCCAAAAACCATAAGAAAACACAATATTTTATGTTGGTCATGAGGGTTCTGTGTGGGAAGTTTGGCCCAATTCTATCATTGGTGGGGTTCAGAATGCCCTTTGATTGTAAGTGAATTATAAATCCCTGAAACTGCAACTCCCAAATGTCAAGTATATTTCCCCAAACTGCACTAGTGTTCACATTTGGGCATATTGAGTATTCATGCCAAGTTTGGTCCAGATCAATCATTGTTTGAGTCTACAGTGCTGTCTGGGTGTAGGTGAACTACAAATCCAAAACTCAAGGTCAGTACCCACCAAGCCCTTCCAGTATTTTCTGTTGGTCATGGGAGTTGTGTGTGCCAAGTTTGGTTTCCCCGCGTGGTATGCCTGTGAATCACACATTTGGTAATCCCTGTGCTCGCGCAGGCCAGCAACGGACATTCCCAAGCTTCTAACTGACCGTTAGAGTGGCCCCGCCTCTTTCTCTCCACTCCATAAATAGCCCTGCCGCGGGGCCACCAGCCAATTCTTTAAATGCGCCTCAAAAAGGCAGCAACGGCAACTCAAGCTATACAAAAGAAGGTTAAGAAAGATTAGAGGCATGACTACCTCTTTCAAAAAATGTATATTATGCCCTAATAAGATACCAGACAATGACGCCCACAAGGAATGTGTAGCATGCCTGGGAGAAGCCCATCTCTCCCAGGCTTGTGAAATATGTAAGGCTTTTACGCCTCAAACCAAGAAAAATAGAGAAATAAATGCTCTTTGATTGTAAATGCTGGGATTATAAATTCCAGCAACTATAACTCCCAAATGATCAAAGCAATCCCCCATCCCAACTCCATCAATATTCAAATTTAGGTATATTGGGTATTTGTGCCAAATTTGGTCCAGTGAATAAAAATACAGCCTGCATAACAGTAGCAGAATTACAGTTATGCAGTAGCAACGAAAATAATGTTATGGTTGCAGGTCACCAAAACATGGGGAACTATATTAAGGGGTCATGGCATTAGCAAGGTTGAGAACCACTGGTCTATAGGATAAAAGGAAGATTGTTTTTGTTAGAAATTGAGATTTATTTTAAGAGTAACAGTGACAATGGTATAAACTAGTGTCTTTCTTGTAAAGATAATAATTTCAGAGAGTTCCGTGTATGACTTATGATGCTTTGATTTCTCAGGCTTCAGGGAAAAAGGAAGAAAAACCTGTCTGTCACTCTGTATATGTGTGAGAGGTCACAAGTGGTGCAAATCAAGTTTTTTACAACAATTTCCCTTAAAAATTAAGTATCAACTGGCACATCTGAAGAATGTTCTGTTCTTGTTTACTTACATCAAACACACACCATCAATTTGAAAAATTGCAAAGACCAGACAATCTAATCATATTTTTGGCAATTTGTACAATTGACAGTTTTTGAGATTCAGAATATTAAATAAAAATAAGAGTGATTACACTATAATTGGTAAGCTTTAAAATTACTTTATTCATTTTTACTCTTCTTAGAAGCAAAGAACTGACCAAAGCCTAGCCTTGATGTTATTTGCGACAAGTTCACTAGAATTTTTCAATTCTCTTAACTTTGAATAATAACTGTGTTGGTGTTTAATTAAAGCGTGCATAAGGTAATGCGATAATTTTGGAATGGAGGAATATTAAAATGTCTAACTTCTGATTTGTTTAGGAGGCTTTACCAGAGATCCAAGAGGAGCATCGCTCTGTGCTTCAGAAGATTAAAGCTATCCAAGAAGAAGAGCATTTGATTCAAAAAGAGGCTCTGAGCATTAGACTTAAAATGGAACAATTAGACAGTCATGTTGCTGAGCATCAATCCAAGATTAAGTATTGGCAAAAAGAGGTGATGAACATTTTATTGTGTACTAATTTCAAACAACAAAATTCCTGTTTGACCAATTGCTTTCATACATAGAGATAAAAATATCGCATATGGCCACACACGAATGCATCAAGTTCCTGAAAAAACACTCAGATAAAAAAAAAATATAAATCTTGCCCAGAGAAGGCTGTTTTAGGAAGCATACAGAGTTATAAGCTGTTATCCTGTGGCTCTCCAGATGTTATTTGACTGTACATCCAATAGGGATTATGGGAGTTGCTGTTGAACATCATATGAAGAGTTGTCTGCCCCTGATTTTGCACCCTTCTGTTGCCCAAACAGCCTGTTTTGCTATATAACGTATCAGTCATGATCTGTTTTAGCTTAATCTGGCTTGCTGTGAACTTGATAGCATGTTTTTCATCTGCAGATAAATCCCCCACCCTTATGAAACAGTCAGGATTAAGATCTCCTAATCTGAAAACTGATTGGCCATTGGAGGCAGACATAAAATATGTAATCTAGATGTGACATGTTAATAATGCTGAATCATTGCTACTGCTCAAAACTTCAGGGAGAAGGACAGGTTGAATGGAAGAGTTTTGATAATCTGTTCTCTCAGCCTGAATCAGCATGATTCTGTTTATTTGTAGAATAATCCTGAAGGCCAATTTGTGATAAAATCAATGTATTAAGAAGGAATTTATTACCTGCTTCTCCTTGTGACTTGAGGTGAGGTACAACAGAGCAATAAAACGACTAAAATACATATAACACAAGACCACACCATTAAAATGTAGATTAAAACTCACAAGTTAAAAGTGACTGGGTAGGCCTACTGAAAGAGATGGGTCTTCAGTTGTGTTTTGAATTTTGACAGCTGATTTAGCTGCCGGCAAGTCATTCCATGGTTGGTTTTTAAATATATATATTTGTATTAATTTAAGAAAGAAAACAAACAAAAACAACAACACCATAAGACGCAAAGAAGAAAAGACACATACAAACCAAGCAAACATAACATAATCCAATTAAACAATAAATACAAAATCATTACTTCCTTCCCTACCTTTGAGGTAGAGGTTCGTCCTAAGTCTTCTTGCGTTTAATTTGGTAATAAGAAAAACTTAAATCCACAATGCTTATTTTTGCTTAAAAAGACTACTTATTCCTTAAAATATTTTTCTGCTTTCTCCCACTCTTTATGGACCCCATCATTATTGTAGTCCATATTTTTGTGACTTCTCTTAATTTCAGTTGCAAATAGATGGAATGTGCTTTAGTTATTTTCCATGTATTTGCCAATACTATCCTTGCTGTTGTAATCATATACATAATTTTTTTCCTTGTAGGTTTATTTGTACATCTATCACGCTGAGAAGAAACTGTTGCGGCATTAATTCTAATTCTCATTGTAAAATACTATTAATTGTATTATGTATCTTCTTCCAATAGTTCTTAACTCTTTTACAGTTCCATAACCTATGATAGAGTGTACCTTTCTCTCACACACATTTTCAGCATAAAGATTTCCTGCTTTTAAATATTTTAGCTAGTATCTGTGAGGTACTATAAAATTTTCTTTATGGTTGCTAGAATATATAAAACACTGCATGTCTGACCAATCTTTTTCCCATTGGTCATTGTCAATTACCCTCCAAACATTTTTACTTACTTGATCACAGAAGTGATGTATTTACTGCCAGACCCACTCTGACTAGACTCTGTTCAGATGGGGAGCTCACTGCAGTATGCTGACAGCTTAAGGTTTTTGGATGCATTCATCAGCACACTCAAAATTTCCAATTAGACTTCAGGCGGGATGCTTCTTTTGATCAGGCAGTGTTCTCTTCTGTTTTTCAGTGGCTTCGCCCACTACCTATGGTAGCTTGTTAATCACACATTTGTTTTGAAGCATAGAAACCACAAGGGGAAAAAACGGGTTACATACCTACAACTGTGTTCCTTCAGATAGCAATTTGTGTCCAAATACAACCCTCCCTCTTCCCTTCTTTTTTTTAACGACCGGTATTAGAATCTTGCTGGATCAAGTAACTGAGGGGAAAAGTCATATTGGGACTGAGCTTGTGAGGAAGAGACGATAAAGCGAAGCTCCTCCCAGGACTACAAAGCTCTAAAACAGGTGTGTCAAACTTGAGGCCCTCCAGGTTTTTTTTTTTTACTCCAGCTCCTGGAATTCCTGGCCATTGGACAAGCTAGCAAGGCCTTCTGGGATTTGGAGGCCCAAACATCTGGAGAGTAACAAGTTTGACAGCACTGTTCTAGAATATTCCAATGGTGAGCCTGCAGGTGCAAGACCCATTTCTGTGAGGGCACTGATGACCCCCTCAAAGAAACCTGTTCGTTGTGGGTTCTCTGGGCCCAGGGAGACATTTTCTGTCCTTACGCATCAAGCATGGATGTGCTGTATCTGAAATGGGAACGGCAGACCTCTTGGTTTTGATACTATGCTTTACCAAGAGACTGCTTTTTCAGTGATCGAGTGTGGTCTAGCTATACATCTGTGGCCTTAAATTATGAAAATATATTTTAGATATTGAAAATATCTTTGCATCCCACGGAAGACAAAGAAGCGGAAGAACTTCCTGTGCTCAGTCAAGATGAACTTGAAGCTATTAAAGATCCCAATATTATTAAAAATCAGATAGCTCTTCTAGAAGCCGAGTGTCATGAAATGAAACCAAACTTGGGTGCAATTGCTGAATATAATAAAAAGGTAAGCATTTTTTCAATATAATACTATAATTATTTTAACCAGTTAAAATCTGTAGCATATTTGCAGACAAAAATTGTAACTGAAACTTCTAAATGATCTGTGGGTGAATCATAGGAAGGACATGTATGTTTACCAATTACTAAATTGGTTCAACACAAATATGAATGTTCCCTGCAAAAGCAATCCTTTAAAAACAGAGTTTGAGTGGTAGTCAGCTATTTTAAATCAACATATGTTTGAGATTCATAGAAAAGGTATAATTATTTTGTTTTGTTTTTTAAAAAGGCATTCTTACCTCAGATTGCTGGAATATTTGAGCACACAGCTAATGTCTAGTGGAAGCATGTGTATTTTAGAGTAATGGATGTCATCAGTGTTTATGTTTTAATCTACGTATATTAAATGTAAATGATGTTTTTAAGTGTGATTCTTTGTTTTGTGATTGTTTGTTTTGTTTTTAGGAAGAGCTGTATTTAAAACGTGTGGCAGAGTTGGACGAAATTACCAATGAGAGAGACCGATTTAGAGAAGCTTATGAAGAACTTAGAAAAAATAGACTTAATGAATTTATGACTGGGTTTAATGTGATAACAAATAAACTAAAGGAAAACTATCAAATGCTTACATTAGGAGGAGATGCAGAGCTGGAGCTTGTAGATAGCCTGGATCCTTTCTCTGAAGGAATCGCATTCAGGTTTGTATGGCATGTACTTTTCTTAAGTGATATCGGACTAAGAACACATTGGCAGCCCATGCAGTTTCTTTCAGAGTGATTTCTATATGTTTCGGTCAGTAATCAAACTGTTCCATTTTCACTACCATCAATGTCTTCCAAATCCTTCAAGGACAGCCCTGCATGCGTTAACTATGCCACTGTAATACATTAAACATTTATTGTGGAATTACTGCATTAAGGTATGTAATGTGCTTCTAACAGTCATAATGTTGAAGTTAAATGAAACTAGAAACAAGTGTAACTTTATAATAAATTCATTATTTCAGTGTCCGGCCACCAAAGAAAAGTTGGAAGAAGATCTTTAACTTGTCAGGTGGAGAGAAAACACTAAGCTCACTGGCTTTGGTTTTTGCTCTGCATCATTATAAGCCAACTCCTCTCTATTTCATGGATGAAATCGATGCAGCTCTTGATTTTAAAAATGTATCTATTGTTGCATTTTATATATACGTAAGTATTGCACAAGTCACCAAAAAACTGCATATTTTTGTTTAGTATCAAAATAATCTACAGTCACAACCTCCTGTATCAGTTGAGGGCAGGGTTTGGGGCCAAAACTATGGAATTGAGCATTGGGTTGTAGGTTTTTTCAGGCTATATGGCCACGTTCTAGAGGCATTCTCTCCTGACATTTCGCCTTGCATCTGTGGCAAGCATCCTCAGAGGTAGTGAGATACCTTACTACCTCTGAGGATGCTTGCCATAGATACAGGCGAAATGTCAGGAGAGAATGCCTCTAGAACGTGGCCATATAGCTCGAAAAAACCTACAACATCCCAGTGATTCTAGCCATGAAAGCCTTTGACAATACATTGAATTGAGCACTATCTGTGGATAGATTGAAAGTCATTCTGTGGGGAGCAGGAAGCACCAGTGCCATCTCAAGGCCAGCGCTGTCACTGATACCATTTTCCCACCCATTCATTCAAAAAGACCAGAATTAGCATAATGGCAGAAAAAGTAGAGGTTGGTGCTGCCAGGACAGACTAAGGTCTTGCTTTTTGCTATTGAGAGACAGGAATTGTTTCATTTTTAAAAATATCAGTTCTGTATTCTTATTAATCATCTTTATTTCTACCATTTCTACCATTTTCAAATTACAATGAAAGAGGGAACAATCAAATTGAAGAAAGAAAGAAAAAAAAGAAAGCAAGAGAGAGCAAGAAAGTTTAAGGGGAAGGGGTTGTAATTAGGGGTAGTTGACGGGAAAAGGGGAGTGAGGTGGGGACTGACAGTATGATAGGGAAGCGGGTTAGACTGGGGAGGGGAGGTAAGGGTTGGGGGGGGGGTGCTTCTGGTTTGATCCGCAGAGAGATAGTCTTTCAAGTAGATTTTCCTCTTCGAGTTGTAGACAATTTTTGATTTGTGTTGAAACTGGTAACTGACACCTAGGGGTCCTGTCACTGCTGCTGCTTTTAGTGCAGCCCCTGCTTAGGAGAGCGCTGCAATCATTCCTAGCATTCTGATCTGCAACACCATGGAATTCTTCAGTTGATGCACTACTTGGCTTAAATCTTGATTGTGCTTGTCATTTACCACCATGAACATAACATTAAGAGATGCTAAGTCTAGATTATGAGTTTGTTGATTGTAAAGATGTTAGAAAATGGTGTAAATTAAGACTATGCTTCAAGAGTTCACCAACTTTACTTTGGCTTTATGTTGAAGGCACAGGTGTGGCATTTCTGGCATAGAGTATATAAGGGCATTAGCTTTCTTCCCTGTAGAAATCTGAGCTATATCCTCGTTCAAGCCAGTGAAAAAAAGTACAGATAGTCCCCGAGTAACAAACATCTGACTTACTCACAGTTACAAACTAAGGTGAGACAACAAGAAGTGAGAGAAATCTACCTCTAAGAAAGGAAATTCACTCCTGAAAGAGTTATCATGGGAAAAGGTGTATCCACTGAAACTTTTTCACCTATCCTTGTTTCTACAACAAACCATTTTTTTTTCAAAATCCAATAATTACAAGGACAGAAAGTGAGGTGTAATCTTCTGAACAGGAGCACTAGTAGCAAAACAAACAACATGGGGGTATTAACAAAATTTGCATATGTGTACTTGTGAGTTATTCAAAAAATGTACCTATTCCGACTACAAACAAATTCAACTTAACAAAGCTACAGAACCTATGTTGTTACTTGGGGAATGCCTGTACTGGTCCTGATACTTACTGGGACTTTGCTTAGTAACTAACAAAGAAGCAGACTTGGTAATCAAGAAAGGTATATTTATTTGGATAAATTGTAACACTAGTTTTCTGTTAAAAACTTTCACATACTCATTCTGATTATATTTTTATTTCCAGGAGCAAACCAAAAATGCACAGTTCATCATTATTTCACTGCGAAACAACATGTTTGAAATTGCAGACAGATTAATTGGCATTTACAAGACATACAATACAACAAAAAGTGTTGCAACAAATCCCAAAGTGATTGCATCAAAAGGACTCACTGAACTTGATTCTATAGGGTGCGTCTGATTGTGAAACTTACCTTCATTTTACCAAGTAGAAGTTCTAGTGAACATTTCTCAATATTTAACATCAGTTCATTGTAAGTAGTTTTTAATTTTTGTCTGAGACTTTTCTTCTCTAAGGACGCTAAGCTCTTCAGTTCTTAATTTACTGTTTAACCAGCATATTTGTATACTGTTTTGATAAGAAAAATTATTTTTAAAAACCTTTATACTGATTTTATTTATGTTCTCAAATAAAATGTAAGCTAGTGTACTGTTTCTTTAGACCTCTATAAGCGTTTTTGTGCATAAGTGAATTGCTAAGACAACTGAAGTTCCTGAACACCAAAGTCTGTTCTAAAACATGGAAGCAATATATAAAAATCTGTAAAGAAAGCAAACAGCTGCAGAACAAACTCATAGTGTGGTTTCTATACTGAAACTTTCTCTATTATCCAGTGGTTGTGGAATTGTGCAGTCATTTGCAGGACTGGGAGGACCAACAAGGAAAGTAAGATTACACTCTTAATTCTGGTATCTTAGTGATAGGACATATATTCTAGATGTTATTCACTGGATCTCTAGGTAGAACTGGGAAAGTTTCTGTTTGAAATTCCGGAAAGCTACTACCAATTTGTGAAGAAACTTTTGAGCTAGAAAGGTAATGGTTTGATTCTGTATAAAGCAGTTTCCAGCATTATCAGGTTCCTGTTGTGGCTTATATGAGTTTGCATCAACTGATACTGATGCTTATTTGGCAGTTTATTTCTTGCTAGAAGGTATTTTAGTCAGGAACACTGAATCAACCGACCATATTGGTCATCAAGTCCCAAATTTACAGATTGTGCCCTGACATCCAAAATAAAGAAGTGTACCCATGAATAGTTTAGCTCCCATACTTGGTTTCCCCTCCAACACAGGGAAAGCAGCTGCTGCCAAAAAAGGGAGACTCCTGAGTGGCAGTATTTTGATGCAACTCTTCTTTGACCAACATGCTTTCAAGCTGGGAGTAAAGCAAAGTATTTTAAAGCAAAGTATTTGCTCAGCATTACTTCTGTTATAATATTTGACCTCACAACTGGGCAGCAAGAATAGGGTTTCTGCTGTGAGGGGGACACTCCACTCATGGCTCTTTGGCTTGCCACTTGAAATGGCATCCAGTTCTAGTAGCCTATGATTGCCAGAAAATGTAATGTTGGAGGTCGTCTCCCGAGATATCTCATTATATGCAAGCATTCCAAAATATAGAATAAGGGATATGAAATACACAGCATGTAATATAGGTTTAGCTTTTGTTCATATTTCCTTTTCCCATTTTCCTTTCTGTTATCATATTTTAATAAGTTTTTAAAATAATGATTCTAAGGATTATCTGACAATCAAGTGGAAGATTTTTTTGGCTTTTATTTAAAATATTTTAGAGCAGTTTTACAAATAGTTTCATGAAGTTAAAACAGTACATGGAAAAATACAAATTCAGTATTCTTAAAATCTGGAAAAATAACTTAATACAAATATTATATTTAGAAAGCATAAAGATTACATTAGACAAAGATATCCTATAGTTCATAGATTATCTTTCACATAAGCACTGGCATAGCAAATCCAAATGCCATAGAACCTGCTTGTTCTTGGCAATCATTTAATAGTGTATTACCCACGTACAATCGCTAATTTGATCTGTGGTAAGATTTGTAGGTAATCAAATGGCTGCCACATTGAAATTTGCTGAACTTACCACCAGGCACATTATTACAATACCTAGGCCCATCAAACCAAGTAAAGATTTTTTCAAAAGTTACAGATACATTTATTTCACTCTCAGATCTGTACTTCTGATGCAGAACTTTGCATCAAACATCACAATTCTCCCTGTTTTTTGTGATAACTTATACACTTGTTAGCTGCTGTAGCACCCCTTGGCAAATATTTGTAAAAGTTTCACTGGCATATATACTAGAGGGGAGAGAAAGAGACAGTGAATTGCATGTACAAAGCATGTACAACTCTAGTATATCTGTAAACTAAAATATTCTAGTAGTATTGTTAAAAGTGGCAGAGGTTTAAACCCTTACTGAGCAGTAAAACAAGAAACCCCCCAGGGATTTGCACTAAATTGTGTAATTCATGAAACTCAACAGACCATTCTCTAGCTAAGTAAAAGTTAGTTGGTAGTGGAATTTATAATGAAAACCTTTTCTACATTTCTAATAAATAACAAGCATTTGTATCAGTACCTACGGTGAATTTTGTAAATCAGCCCTTGAAACAAAGTGGTCCGCTAAAATCTTGGAGGTATGATAAATCAAGTTTAAGGGATAAAACAAACTTTTTGTATACATACTTCATATGATTACTAAAATGCATATACAACTTACAGGACAGGAGTTATAAAATTAAAAGCTCCTATACATCCCCTAAGTGTTTCTATCTTTGTTCTGAAAAAATACATTTTGAGTCTTTGATGCTTGATATTAAACACCAATAACCAAAAGAAATTTTCTAAACTGTTAAAGAATGCTTAGATCCATTTGCAACTATGTTACTATTTCTGATATTTTTCATAGGAAAGAAAGGTGTTCAAAAATTTAAAGGACAGAGGAGAAGGCAGCACAAGATAGTACAGCTGTGGATATCATGACAAATCACAATCTGGCCTGCATCTCCATTGGCCTACATGCCCTAATTCTAGTAGTGGGCAAGTGGCTGCTTTCCAGATATTGTCAGACTACAATTCATCAATCCGTAGCTTAACCTTTGGTGAATATTTTCATTTCAAAAATATCTGGAGGGTCATAGCTTGCCCCTCTTTGCTCTTACCTGTTTGTAGACATATTTGCAAGAGGATTAGAAATGCAAATAAGATGATTCCATTTCTTAACCAAAATTGATCTTTATACTAAATACTGATGCTTATATACAGTATACATTTGCCATTCTAGGATAACTTCAGTTTGAGCATAAACAGGAAAAGCTACAACATCTATGTGACTGCTATTTTTAGCATGAATTTTATTTATTGCTATCAGTCCATTTCTTCAGACCTAGGAGTTGGATATGTTAGAGGTACAGAAAGACAGAACGGTTTAATGGATCACAATTTGCATATTTCTCATTTTCCTTATTGTTTTCCTTTTTATGCTGAAATGAATAGCCCTATCTCTCTGAAAATGTCAGTTTGAACCAGCTGCCAATCACTCTATCTTTCAGTGTTATCATATTAAGGCTAAAAATCCATTTAACGCTCCATAAGGTCTCTTTTGCTTAAGACAACAGTATTCACATGGGAGAGGGCACACTATATAGATATTCAAGAAAAAGGTTAGAAGTGTGCCACAAAGTTTCCACGGCTACCTGCAATCTCTTACTTGTGTCTTGATAAATTGTTTGAAAGGCACTGAGAACATATGGAAAGGCCACTTTATTTATAAATGACAATAAATGTTGTCCATAGTAAACAATAGCCAGTACCAAAAAAATCAATAGAAGTCCCCAAAGTTCTAAGGGCCACAAACTTTGTTTAGATGATCTATTTTTCTGTCCATGGCCAGTGTAACGAGCTTTTTCTTTTGAAATCAGTTTTATTTTAGGAGTGAGAATGTTGTTGACCAGACTGATTTCACTTTTGCTCCACACATCTTCCAACACTTGCTCTATTCGTGGATAGATTTCAACAGATGGAATATCGAATAAAGGTTTTTTCTTCAATGCTTTAACACGCTGACGTATATCCTCAACCTTTTCTAGAAACAAAAGGGGAGATTCTTCATTCTGAATAAGGTTATTGAGTGACATAAGGTCTAGTTGTTCTTCTCGTACTGCTTTCAGGTTTTCAATGCGAGGTTCGTATTCTGCTGTTATCTGCATGTTTACTTCATCCAAAGCTGCAAGCAAAGCTTGTTTTTTATGTTCAAGCGAATCGCTAAGCCTTTTAAAATACTGCAACACAGTTTTTTTATCCTGTTGAACAATGCTTTCATATTCAGCTTTCTGTTCCTCCAGGTATTCAATACGCAAACATATTTCACTCCAGTGCTTATCAGTCAGCTCATCAAGCATCTTGCTGGGTGTGTCTTTTTCTTTCATGTAGGCACTTTGAAGATCGTCAATAGGATGGCCATGATGGTTTCCTATTGTAAGACACTGGCCACACACTAATTTTCTGTCTAGAAGACAGTAAACATTTAATGGCTGCCTATAATGTTCAGTACATGTAGCAACATCTGGATGGTCCTCCCGCTGATATTTTTCAATGATGGCTTTTAATGCATAATTTACAGGCAAAGAGTCTGTACCCGTTGGCGGAATTTCAACAATGCTTCTACAGTTAGGACACTTCAGTGGAAGCCTTAAAGGTCTCCATATAGAAAAAGTGCCTGACAGCTGAAGAACACTTTCCAAACAATTTCGACAAAATGTATGAGAGCATGGCAGTACACGGGGGTCATCAAATATACTATAGCAAATGGAACATGTTAGCTCCTCTTCGAAGTGATGCATTTTCTAAAAATAAACATATAGTGAAAATATTAATGCTTTGTTTCTACCTCAGGAAGAAAAGCACAAAAATGTGAATATTGAGCATTATTCTCCACACATGTGAAGTAGAACCTCAGTCTTACAACACAGTGTAATGAAACTAGTCTTTATTCTAGATTTCTTAGCATATTAAGTAATTCAGTCATTTTTTAAATTGCATGTATAATTTGATCTAATGGGAAACTAGTTTCAGTTTTTAAAATAAAATGAGTAAAAAGTTTTTGTAACCTTTCAAATACGAACACCAGCATAAATTAAAGCAGTCAATGCCAAGTAAAGATGATATTCCACAACAAATGACACTACAGCATTTCTATGTGTTACTTTCACAGGTTCCATTACTTGAATTGCTTAAGAGTCAAGTACCCAAATAATTACTAAACAGTGAGTTTGTAAATAAAGAACACTTGCAAAATATGTTCCCATATAAGTGGCAGTGGCTCATTACTGCTAAAAAAAAGAAACTAGTTATCTGAATAGAGTATTAAGGAATACATTTTGCAGAGACAGTATGAAATACTTGTTCATTAGGGGTTTTTAAAAATTAAGCATCCTAAATTTCCTTGTTTCTTCAGAATAGGTTTTCATATTTCCATGATTAATATGGCTAGTGTAAAATGAGAAAATATGTATAAGATTTAAAGAAACCAAGAGATTGCCTAATTTAAGGCAGTACTATTCTTTGTACATTAAAACCAAGATCAGTAATCCAAAATTACATAACATATAGAACTTTACATTTGATCAGAGAAATTGAAGGTTTCTATAATCTATCATAGCCAACATGGTGTGATGGATTAAGCCAGGGGTCCTCAAACTAACGCCCCGGGGCCAGATACGGCCCTCCAAGGTCATTTACCTGGCCCTCAGTCAGGGTCAACCTAAGTCTGAAACAACTTGAAAGCACACAACAACAATCCTATCTCATCAGCCAAAAGCAGGTCCACACTTCCCATTGAAATACTAATAAGTTTATATTTGTTTAAATTGTTCATTTTAATTGCTGTATTATTTTTAAGTGTTGTTTGAACTACAAATAAGATATATGCAGTGTGCATAGGAATTCATTCATGTTTTTTTCAAATTATAATCCAGCCCTCCAACAGTTTGAGGGACTGTGACCTGGCCCTGTGTAAAAATTTTGAGGACCCCTGGTTTAAGCATTGAACTATGACTGGAGACCAGGATTCGAATACCCACCCAGCCATAGAAACCCACTGAATGAACCTTGGATATGCCATTCTCTCTCAGCCTCAGAAGAAGGCAAATGTAACCCCCCTCTGAACAAATTTTGCCAAGAAAAAACCATAAATGGTTCACCTTAATGTTACCAAACTACAGGAGGATATGTGAAAAGTACCTTCCACAGCAAAATTTCAGTACCAGTTTTATAACATGTATCAGCATTCCTTGGACAAAGGCCAACCTAACATTCAGATTATTTCATAATGTTACAAAAGGTCATAATTAGATCTCTATTTCAATTCAATAAAAAAATGAAGAAATTACATTTTTAAAAAATATGAACAGCCTGAATTCTTTAAAATGTCCAAAGTTCCTCCCTGCACAATCTGAATTTAAAACTAATGTTTTAAAATATACTTGCTCTAAAACGATCCTTTGATAATGCATTAACAAGAAAGCACTCATGCTTGACTTTTTTCTCTAATTAGGAATTTTCAAATATTGCCTTCAAATGTTTTTTTGTTTGTTTTTTTTTAAAAAAAACTTTTAAAAACCGTATTTGCTACATCTCTGGATTACTTTTTAGCCAAAGAACTCACTGTGATTTAAAGCTTTAAACGTTAGCTAATGTTTTTTTTACAGTGAACTCTCTGCATCTGCCTGTTCCACAAATTCAACCTGTCACGCCCTGTATGGCAGTGATGTGAGTGTGGAGACACTGATGTGTGCGTGTCGCCATTGAATAAGATATAATAATCATCATCAGAAGCCAGTAAAAGTGGTCCCAGTAATGATCGGCACACTGGGTGCAGTGCCTAAAGACCTTGGTCTGCACTTAAACACAATCGGCGTTAACAAAATTACCATCTGCCAGCTGCAAAAGGCTACCTTACTGGGATCTGCATGCATTATTCGCCGATACATCACACAGTCCTAGAGACTTAGGAAGTGTCTGACATGTGATACAATACAACAGCCAGCAGAGTAATCTTGTTTGCTGTGGACTTATCTTGTGTTTCAAATAATAATCATAATAATAATCACAATAATAATAATTTTATTTATATGCCGCCATATCTCCCAATTTACAACAAGCAACGGCAAACATTCAGTGCTGTAAGGTGCTAACAGAACTTAAACAACCAAAACTCCTCAAATCAAAACAACTACATAAAAGTGATAAAGACACTACCACAAATTAGACAACAACATAACAGAATTACGTTTTCACACAGCCAAGGTAACAAAGATGGCGAGTTGTTTTTCATATCCATATAAGGTCCCAGAACCAAACCCTTATGGATACAGTAGACCCAGTGCACATTGATTCAAATGGTCAACACCCAGGAGCAGTGTCCACACAACCCCCAGTATCCCTCTGCAGCTGTCTGGATAACAAAAACCTACTTTGCCAGAGCCAAGCAGTTTTTAAAGACACATGGGATATTACAAAGAATCGCAAACTCTGATGTGGTTTGTTAAAATCTAGCCTTTTGTGATGTGTAAAGCACCCTGTGAAGAAAAGCTACATTTTGTTAATCAGCAACAATCTGATGCCATGGTTTATTATCTGCTTTAGGAACAAAATATCACTTTTCCACATACTCCCCATCCCCTTCAACAGCCTTATGCCACCTAGGAACTAGGGCCTGCATGCTTGAGCCACAGTTTAGCCGCTGCCATAAGGGAGTCATCCTCTTCATCTTGATCAATGCAGGGTGTCCAGTTTGCCGAATAGGTGGTCTATAATTAAGACTTTCATCCACATGATATGAACTTTCAACACTGCTAAAACCTTTATAGGATATGTGGTGAATGAATGTTTTGATAGGAATCACATAGGATAAAGGGAATTACTCTTCTGAGAACTGTCTTTCACAAACCATGGCATTTCTGTGAGGGGAAAGTGCTATGGAAGAAAACAATGTTTACATGTGTTTGATCTGCAGAGGTCATAAATACCCATCCACCTTTCCAGCATCCTAGACCACTCCAACATCTGATGCATGATTGATTTAATGCAAATAGCTGTAGAATAATTAAATAAGCACTACCACATGCACACTGATGGGGTGGGAGTCACCAAAAAAGAAACGCCTTACAATAAACACCAATAAAAACTACAGGAACAAATAATGCCTTACATTCGATACACAAAACACTAGGTTATGAACTAGGGTATAATATATTAGCATTATTGTAATATATATAATATTGTTTTATTTTATTTATTCATTTACTATACTTGTATACCACCTTTCTCAGCCTTATCGGCGACTCAAGGCGGTTTTAATATAATGTTGTAATATATTCCATATTATATATACTACAATGTATGATATAGTACAATATATTATAGAATACAAATAGTATAATATACTAGTAGCATATTATATATATTGTGGTATAATAATAATAAACTTTATTTGTATTCCACCCTCTCTCCTCGAGGAGACTCCAAATGGATTCCAATTAAAAATAGCAAACATTAAATGCCAAATACATTCATAGGTACAAATACAAAAACAAACCATTTGGATCCCAAAAAACCCCAACATCTACAACCAAATTATAACAAAAATTAAATAACAACACAGCCTATCAATTGATTTACATCTAACATAACAGACATTAAACATAAATTATATAAAAAAACACTTAAAATTTCTTTAAAACAGTTATTAAAATATTATGCGGCCAATAAAGCCAGCAGAACCAATGGTACCAACTAAGCCGAAACCAACTGAGCTAGAGTATAATGACAATTTCCAAATGGTAGTATAGTGTATTAATTATATGTAAACTTCTAGTCCTCCTCTCCGTATGCCAATGAACAGAAATAGTTTTTGAATTGTTTTTTAAAGGAGAAGGGAGGGTTCTTTATACTAAAATATTGCAGCATAGTGGTGTAGTATAATATAATAACATATGACACACATACTGTGCTATACCAGGTATGGGTAAACCCAGGCCCGGGGGCTGGATGCAGCCCCTTGGGCTCTTTTCTCGGGTCCTCTTTCTCTCACCATGCTATCCTTCCTTCTCTCTTTGCTTCTGACTTCTCTCCTTCACTTCCTTCCTTACCTCCGTCTTTCTCCTTCCCTTCCACCCTTCCTTCCCTTTTCTCTTTCCCTTACACTCTTCTCTTTTTCCTTCCTCTTTTCCTCCCGGGGCGGGGGGGGGGGATATTTAGCTGGGAGAAGAGACAATTGAGAACCATGTTTCGGTGTCCCATTGAGGAGGATTGGGAAAACTTTTTCTGCAGCTTTAGAGACCAGGGCACAAGGGAGCAATGGGTTCAAATGACAGGGAAAGAAATTTGACTGAAAAGATTGGGAAGAACATCCTGGAGAGTGGCGTAGACTACCTTGGAGTGTGGTGGAGTCTCCTCTGGAGGGTTTTCCGCAGAGGCTGTCTATTGGGAGTGTCTATTGGGAGTGCTTTGGTTGTGCCTCCCTGCATGGCGGGGGATGGACTGAAAGGCCTTTGGGGGGTCTCTTCCAGCTTTAGGATTATATATCAAGAGTAGGCAAATATGGGGATCTAATGGATACACTTTTTCTCTCCTGTCCACCATCTCATCCTGATCAAGTCTTTCCTTCACTTTCTGCCTCCAAAAGAGAAAAGGGGGGGGGGGGAGATCTCTCTTCAGCTGCTTCTCAGCTTTCTCACCACCCCCATCTCAAATGGACCCCCGTCCCTTCCCATACACTCCTTTTTATGTAAATCAGTGTTTCTCAACCTGGGGGTCGGGACCCCTGAGGGGGTCGCGAAGGGGTGTCAGAGGGGTCGCCAAAGACCATCAGAAAACACAGTATTTTCTGATGGTCATGGGGATTCCATGTGGGAAGTTTGAGCCAATTCTATCATTGGTGGAGTTCAGAATGTTCTTTGATTGTAATGAACTATAAATCCCAGCAACTACAACG